TGCGGATTTTGTTAAACTAATATGTTTGCGCTGTGGACCAACACTATACATTGACGGGGAAGGGGGTAGCAATAAAGATAACACCATTAAACAGTTACACAACATAACAGAAATAATATGGATAGCAGCGTCCCTAGCAACCACCTTGGTAACAATGAAAACGTTATGGACGCAATTTCCTGAAGTAATCTTCGTAATAACTAGCAAACTAAAGATCATGTACATCCACTGCACACATAATCTGAAATAACAACTCATATTTCTCGCATCAAATGACATCAAAACGCATTTTAATGGCCAAACTAACTTTAAAATAGGCATTTTCCATCGAGAATAAAACGAAGTTCGGCCATGTTTTTTTTTTCTGCAGGGAGAAATTTGAAGATCACGTGACGTCAAACAGAGCACATGGTGTAGTCCAAACGATAGCTGGGGATTCTGGGTCGTGTAGTGTCTTCTGCCATCCTTTACTCCGAAAACATATTTGTTTCTCCGAATCGAAGGGGAAAAATACAAAAGCATTGCACACAATTTAAACCAATCAATGTTGTGTAATTAACAAGGATAATCTGGTGTTTTTTAGTCGATGAGTAGTGCAGATATCACTGTAAAATCAATCGACAGTAAGCGGAATACTTACTTCCGGGTGTACAATTCTCCGTTATCCAATGAGAATGGACGCTCACATTGCCTTTAAGGGCAGCCGACACAAACGAATGCCGTGCTTCCATGAGCGTCCATAGAAGCATATGGACATCCCGGAAAGCTGAAAATGGACGCTAAGGCCCCCCCCCTTGCGTTGAAAATGGACGCTAAGGCCCCCCCCTTTGCGTTGGAAAAAGCCGACAGGGGACTTGACATAACGTCAACATAGGCCGACCTGGGAGTGAGGATGTGTTGCTCAGAGAGACAGCACAGGGCTGTCTTTACAGATGTTGTCTTGGATATTAACTTTAAACAAGTGACAATGTACTTTATAGTATAGAACGACAGATCATTCACTGAAAAGTGAAAAGTTGCTCTGATGGTGTTAGCAAAAAATATATCTGCCTCAAAAGACTGCTGTTAAAATATTATAATGATGTTATAATATAATTTCTACTTTCACAGAGTTGAACTTTTAACAAATCTTAATCCTGATCATTACTACCAATGATTTGATTATTCTGAGAATTGTATGACCCTCTAATGCAGAGGTGCCCAGTACGTCGACCGCGGGGGCAATGCTGGAAGATCGCGAGTCATTCATAAAAAAAAAAAAATCAAGCTCCGTTAAAATAGACAAAACAGGTTTTGATCCCTCCTCCCTTGGCCTCCCTGCCACTTAATTCAGGAGTTTACTTGATTGACAGAAAAAGCGACCTATCGCTTTCCAGTCTGTTAACCCAGAATGCAAAGCGATACAAAATCAGTCAAGTGCCGGGAAAACTCAAATTAAGTTAAAGAGACTAACAAGAGACAAACAACAAAATGAGTGCGGGACCGAGCAAGAAGCTAAAGAGATACCACTTCCACCCAGAATGGGAGGAAGAATATTTTGTTGTGATGTCACATTCAAAGGTTATTTGCCTTATTTGTAAAGCAAGCGTCGCTCTGCCAAAGAAAGGTAACGTGGAGAGGCATTATCGGAGTGTTCACAAAGCATATGACAGCGACTTCCCTCCGAGTAGCGAGTTGAGAAAGGTCATGTATTATTGCTACACAAACATTATCTCGCAGTCTGTCGCCAACTCGTTTCTAACATGCAAAAAGACAAAACAAATGCGTCTATGGTCGGTGAATTTTTGATCTTTCCAATCGAGACGTGAGCTCTCTCCCCCGTCTTAGCGCGAGGAGGCGGGGCATTTTACACACATGCAGCTGCTACAAGCAGCAACACACGGAGGAGATGGCGGAGAGAAGCGCTCCAAGGTGTGGTTAAATGTTACCCGTCTTGAGGTGAACAATGCTCCTTGCCAAGAGTGTTTAGGAAGGGCGGATCAATGTGTATAAACATTTAGAAAAAGTGCACCACATTCAGACGGAGGAATGTACCGGGTTCGACCGTCTTTCTAGCAGCTCTGTAGCTCCATCCACGAGTAAATTTTCCACGTCAGGTGTTATGTATGCTAGCAGCAACACACGGAGTTAACTCAATGATTCAAACATGGGTTAATGATTAGAGGGAACTGAGTTACTCTTTATTTAGTTAAAGTTTCAGTTATTCTGTTCACAGTTCTGTCATCAGATTATTTAATACGATTTGTTAAAACATTGTTTCTTTTGATGTGAAATATTATTTATTTAATTTAAATAAAAAGCAATGTTAATTTTGTTCACAATTTGTTAAGTTAATTTAATAATATATGTATTTTTGAATCAAGTATTCATCTTTATTGTCTTCATTGTTAGTTTCCACATGCCTAAAACAACCTCAAGCTAAATCTAAAAGTTGATGGCTAAATAAGAGCGTTTGAGAAATTGTGCAAGGCATACAGTAATAGTCTGAATAGTCAATTAATCGTTTCATTAATCGATAGATTAATCTATTATCAAATGAGTCGTTTTTTGCAGCCCTATTGTAGTTATCCCATGTATAAATAAAACGTGTTATTCAGCAACCCTTGCAATTTGGGATTTTATTTTTGGTTGGTAGACCTCGGTGAGCTGGTCATTTCAAAAGTAGCTCACCAGCCCAAAAAAGTGTGGGCACCCCTGCTCTAATGCTTTTTTTTAAATTCCATATCAAATCTTGATATTTTTTTTAATTATTATTTCCAAAGTTCTTACACTTTAAAAGCACATTTCCTTATGTTTGTAATAAAAGTAAGCAAACACTTTTTGTGTTAAATTATAAACGTATACAAACGTCATTTTAGTTTTCTGTACTACATGGCCCTGCACACAGCTGGCCTTCTGCAGGGTAGATGGATGGACGATGGAGAATACATGGACATAAAGGCTTTGACATTAGAGACTATGTGCTGAGAGGAAGAAGCTTAGACCTGAGAGAGAGGACGGACAAACACAGGACATCATCCACATCCTGCCTGGACTAATAGTTTGTCATAATAAGTCAACATGATTTACAGAATACTACTACAAACATAACATTTCTGCGTCACAATTTAACATTACACTGTGATAGACATGAATCATGCATACATGCAAAGGGACTAAACACGGAACACATTACATTCTGTGTTGCCACACGCAGACTTAAAAAAAGACAAATGAAAATGCTTTTAACAAAATAATAAATGCTTATTTCTCTATCAGCTCCTTAAGAATCCCTTTTTATTTAATTTGCATTCCCCTTTAAGTCTTTCCAAGTTGTGTGTTGAAAATGTCACTAATTCAGACTCGATCCAGCCTCCCTCTCTCCTCCTTTGCAGTTCCTAAGCTATTAGCGGGATCTTTGATTGAGATTAACGGAGCCCTGAAATCAATGAAAGATAATTAAAAAGCCTTTGTTGAAGGGCAGGCACTTGTGTGTGTGTGTGTGTGTGTGTGTGTGTGTGTGTGTTTGAGAGAGAGTGTGAGTCATTGTGCTTCTTTGACGGTATATCTGTGAAAAAGTGTGTGTTATGGTAATTGAATGTCTGTTGTATTCGTTCAAAGGTGGATATTGCTCTCTGCCAACTGATTGATAATGGGATTTAAAAAAGGAATTTATCAACACTTCCTTTTCTTTAAAGAACTTTACCATTTAAATCTTTCTAAATGAACTGATGTGCGTCGGGTATAATGACTATATGTGCAGGATGGTCGATGGGTAGTTTTCAGAGGAAATAAATTAGATGTGCTCCTAGCACAGAGGTGCATAGTGACTCATTCACCAGCTATGAGAAAACAGCCAAAACACACAAGAATACACACCATGATGTCACTGCTCGCTCTGAGCAAAGGGGAAATGAAGGACCTTTCACCTGAGGTCAAATTTGCTAAGAGAAAAAAAGCAGTTACTCTTATTATACTATAAACGTATGTGTGACAGAGGGGTTGTTCAAGCGGTGGAAACTAAATAGTGAGACACACACACATGCACGCACTCACACAGACACACAGGTAAGGTAGCTTCCAGGCAAAGCCTTCATAAGATCTCAGTGACAGCTGACCTTGTGTCCCACGTGCAGAAACTCTTTTATGACCCTACGGCCAAGACAAACATTAGGAATGCATTTTACATAATTCATGGGGTCCAAAGAAAATCAGCCAATATTTCACAATGGTTATGTTAACTTTTAAAGATCAATTTTCATTCGACTGACCTCACCAACCTTGCCTTTTTTTTTTTATAGCTGTTTAAATAATTGATCAATTCTGAAAAACTCTGGATTAAATTCAGTAAGTACATTTTTTAAGCATGCATATCGATACTTTTAAATAAACTTATTCCTAAAATATCTGCCCCCAACTTTAGAATAGTATTGTTATGCAACCACAACTCTATGTTTAAGTTATTAATGTTATCTGCAGCTGCTTCCGTTTCCTCCATGGAAAACATGGAGCTACTGTTTTCATTACATTTGGGGAATAGAAGCTTAATTTGATCTCCTCCTGCTTTACTGCTCTCTCATGAGTCAGCCATCTTTGGCCTGTTCTACCAATCATTTTGACTTTCAGACTATCAGAATTGGGCAGACACGCAAACAGAGAGTGACAGGCAGATACAAAGCAACACTTTTGCTCCCCTCCGTCTGCTCCCTCTGTCAGTCTAATTACTTAAAAATGACTCTTACCTCAAAACAGCAGGGCTTGTGGTTGTGTACTTAGTTTGACTTCATTACTCTAATTCTGCAGTGGCGGCAGTTAATCATTCTACCCTCCAAAAAACTAAAGAAGGGCCAAGATTATTGAATCGTACAGGAATATTCATCAAACATATTTCAGTGTTGTTATATGACCAATACTGGTCAATGATAAAAATGTCATACAAGCACTGTTGACCTATGTGTCTAAATCTCTATACGTTTGCATATATCTGTTATTCTGCATGCCCAACTGTGCGCTGTACTCACCAGGCGTTTGATGATCCTAAGTGTTGAGCGTTGGATTCGGTGGGCCTCGGGGTGCATGTGTGTGCGCAGCATGTGTGAAAAGCTTTGCAAACAGGAAGGTGACAGGCAGTCACAACCCTCTCCTCCATACAGCTGGACCAGCATGGACAGACACTGAAGAGCCTCCTCAGAAACCTCCTGGTTTTCAGTGGACATCTACAAGGAGAGAAAATGACTGGAGCGATGAAATGATCACATGCACAGAGTTTCTATTTACATCACCGTGGTTACTGGTTATGGGCCATGGGCTCACCTTCTTCCTCTAGGTGTACTTACAGGACAAATCATTAATATTATATTTGTTGTTGAAAATCGAAGGCCATTTCAAGTAAATAAATAAAACAAAAGTGACATGGAAGCATCCAGGATCAGTGTTCACTCTACACTGTGTGCATGTTGGCTCGATTACTACAGGTGACAGACCCCTTGCTAAATGAATTAACTTAATGCTCTCAGAAAATAATAATACTTGCCGACTTCTCCTCAGAACTGATTTTGTTCAACACATTCAGGTTTTGCAATTTTAATGATTTTAATTAGATTCAAGGAACATATTGACGCTTCTGCTCTTTCTATCCCGCTAATCTCCCATGGGGCAAAGGGGCTACGCTGAGGCCGGGGGTGTGTCAGCTGCCCCCTTAACCCTCTCATACACAACCCCACACACAGACGCCCACCCAACACTCAATGTGTCAAGTATAAGTAAAAACCTCTATTGTGTCCCTTGAGACCTCTTCTCCTCCTCCCATTTGCCTACCCCCCCCCACCCTTCACGTCTTCAACTTCCCAGGATGCCTCACAGTGCCCTCGCTCTTTCTTTGGCATGGATTCGCTCCATCTTTCTTCTTCTAACCTCGCCTGTGAACATGATTTGATTATTTCGCAATTAAATTATTCTTCTCTTCTCCAACATCATCCTCCTGTTTTTAATCTAAGTATCTATTTGTTTTGAAATACTTACAAATCATGTTTATTTTATTCAGTGTAAAGGATGTTGCAAAAGGCCAAACACTAAGATTAGGAACTTCAATTGGTTTTACTGTACCTTTATTTAAAAAAGACTTACATCGTAATTGAGAGATGCTGGTTGCAGATAGAGGAGGGAGTTATTTTACTACACATTTATAGTGGAAGAAGGTGTGCATGTATGAACAGCTTTTTAAGACTACATGACATTCTGTGCTGGCACTTGCAGATATAGGAGCCTCCTCTCATGACTTCTGTGATTTATATTTGTAATAAAAGTAGTATAATGACTGCAGCAAACTAGCGATAATGATCTGTATCAACAGATTCATGCAGTGTGCACAGAGCACACTACATAACATCCCTACACTGATTACACGTGTGGCTTAGTCAGCATGTTTGTAGAAAACAAAGTTACCTGTTATTTAGCTTCTTTAACAGAATCCGCTGAAGGAACTAGACAGAGGACACAGAGTCCGTGCATGAAAGTGCATAACAAGCATTTTATACGTCTCTTTGAAAGTGGTTTACTGCACGACTGCTTGACTAACTTAAAGAACATAACAGTATTCACACTTATTTGGAAAACAGCTAATTAAGGAAGAACTTTTACATGAGCTTGAGCAGTATGTGCTGCTGTTTACAGCGCAGTGAGACATGGCAGAAGGTTTGACAAGTTGTCTGGAGGACGCTGTAGATGTAGTAACTGCAACACTGGCATATGGTTTTAATGGTCCCAATAGCTTCCTGCTGATTAGATAAATAAGTCTGATATAGCAGAGTTGGTGTCGCTCCCTTCTGAAATCCCTGTTTATCTTTTAGATGGAAAAGTTATGTAAGATGTAACTTACCTTCAATGCAGCACAGGGGTAGAGATCAAAGTAGCTTGTTATTAATAGAGCACACTCATTTGTGGGACCAAATAGGAAATTATAAGGCTTAAAAAATCTCTCAAGTCAAGGTGTGAGAGCCTGTACTGGCCGTTAGCAACTGAGAAGCAGTGGATAGAGATCTCTATCATTTGTATTATTCAGCCGGTTAACTGATACAAGTATTACCAACGTGTATGAATCATATCCAAGACGTATTCTTCATATGGAAAACATATAACCAGACACAGGCATGTGTTCTCTTTCTTCACACATAGACACACAGCCCTGCATAAATAGGAATACATTCACATTCAGACTTACAGTACACAAACATACAGGAGCAAAGACAACATATGTATGTATGCAGAGACACACACACACACTGAGTGTTGGTCTCACCATGTGAATGAGGTGTGTGCTGAGTTGGCTCAGGGGTCTGTTTTCTAGGAGCAGCTTCTCTGCTGTCTCCATCGCCACTGCTGGACAAGATAGCCTCTGGCGCGATACACACACACACACACACACACACACACACACACACACACACACACACACACACACACACACACACACACACACACACACACACACACACACACACACACACACACACACACACACACACACACACACACACACACACACACACACACACACACACACACACACACACAACACACACACACACACACCATCACACACACACACACACACACACACACACACACCACACACACACACACACACACACACCACACACACACACACACACACACACACACACACACACACACACACACACACACACACACACACACACACACACACACACCACACACACACACACACACAACACACACACACACACACACCACACACACACACATTAAATCATTTATAGAGATTTGACATTCAATAATGATGGATCCAGAGGCCTGTCAAGACAGATTCTGACGGCCTGAGACAGACAGAATGAGACACAGTGTTAGACTACAGGAGGAAATAGTTTCTCTGCATATGGTGTGTTATTTTAACCCTTGTGTAACACAGGGACAACACAACTTGAACACTTTTCATTATTTGTCACATCGAGTTACTTTTGAATTTTATGACGACTTCAGTCTTCTCAAGTCTTCCTTTTTTTTGCCCCCACCTCATTAGCACCTCTGTCCCTCATTTTGGCTTATTTTAGTTCAGTTCATGCCTACAGTGGAACTTCAGGCCAATTAGCCGTGGAATAATGTGATTAATACTGGCACATATTTTCTCTCTCTTTTCCCCAAGTCACTTCTTCTCTGTTACGCTCCCTCTCTCTCCTTCTCTTTTTGCTTTTGTAGTATATATAATCTCTGACTCTCGGAGCAATAGTTTGGGGAGAGCGGTCTAGTCACGTCCACTCTCCTTATCAGACCGTATTACCCAAATGAATTTGGTTTGGGCTGAAGTTTTCCTTTTAATGAGCTTTGCATTTCTCATGGAATTGATTTCCGCTGCACATTTTGCTTGCTCCCTTTTCCATCTCTAGCTCTTCCCTTCTCTCATCCATCCTTCCCTCTCCCTCTTCTGTCCTCCCTCTTCCACCCAGTCTTTTACCCTGCCTCCCCTTTAGTCCCCCCACCCCCCTGTGTCCAGGCATTAATATGTATAGGTTGGGCTGGGGTGCACACGATGGGGAGACAGGGGCTGGTGTGTGTGTGTATGTGAATGTACGTGAGTGAGTGTGTGTTAGTGTGTGTGTAGGGAGGCAAGCTGAGGACAAAGCCAGTGGTGATAATGAGGCCGCAGGGACATAGCCAGACAGGCCCCTCTGAGTATGCCTGTGAGTGTGTGTGTGTGTGTGTGTGTGTGTGTGTGTGTGTGTGTGAGTGTGTGTCAGGGACTCGGGGACCTCATCCGCTTTCTCCTGAGTCCACGACTCCAATATTGCAGTTGCTCAAACCTAGCTAGCTTCCACTTCACACATCAATGGAGAATCACACACACCCACACACCCCCACACACACACACACACACACACACACACACACACACACACACACACACACACACACACACACACACACACACACACACACACACACACACACACACACACACACACACACACACACACACACACACACACACACACACACACACACACACACACACACACACACACACACACACACTCACACACACCCACCCCCCCCCCCCCATTGGGGACTTAGTGATTCTGTGCTAAGCAGAGATGAAATTGGTAAATAGTGGTGAATCAATGTTTGAAAAACACCAGCCTAAAAGGACCAATGTAATGTGATGAAGCTAAACTAAAAGTGACACACAAGCAAACACTCGTTTGAAAATAATATTAAAATATAAACAAATAAAACAAGTATTTTTGGCTCTTTCAAATTGTAATCTTCAAGGACTATGATAATAAAGGGATTTGTGTACGTTTATAATATAAACGATGTGAGGGTCTAAGGATAGATGGTGTCGTTTTTCTCATACTGATATTCTGAACAATCTGTGTTGTTGTATTTGCTGTAAAGTGTCTCTACTGTAGGCTATTTTTATTATATGTACAGCACTAGCAGGAATAGTAGCCAAATATTGATCTTTGCTCCGTAGATACATTTTGAGTTAGTAAATGCAGCAGAAAGCCACAGAGCTGATCATCTATTCACATTTATTTGCAGTAATAATACAAATATTGGCCATTTTGGCGCCTCCTCCATGAATTCTCCTTTAAATGCTAGAATTTGAGAGAACGAGGTGAAGAGGCTGCCATTTAGTTTGTGGAGTTACTCAAAAAGCCAGAGTTTCAGTGATCGTACCTGCAGTGCGGAGCGGACAACAGCAGACAATTGTTTCAGGATGTTGTGAAGCAGTTCCAGAAGAGCTGGTAACACATGATGGCTGACCTTCCTCCCAGCATTCCCTTCTCCGTCCAGGTGTATTAGTGCAGCCTCTGGGAAGGTGCTCACCACCACCTCTATCAGGCCTGTGCAGTAGAGGGAGAGTCATTGGGTAAAGAATTAAACAGATGTTTAGTTGTTGATACCAAAACGTATTATTTTACACTCTGGTGACAGTCTACACAGCAAAGTACTCAAATAAATTGCAGAGGTAACATCATAACAGACCCTAAGCACATGATCGTGCTAGCAAAATACTCTTCCTGTTGGAAAACATTAAGCACTTTAGCTTCCTGTCCCTCCATTGTCATTATGACATATCATATTTAGAGATAAATCACCTCAATAGGTAATTCATATGAGTTAAAGTGATAGATTGCAACCCCCACTCTGCTTATACATTCCAAAACCCCTAACGCACCTTTGTTTCTCTCCTACAAGCATGTTAGGATGCAGGATAACAGCATACCTGAGCCTGACCTGAGAACATCAGTAGCTGCAGGCTCTGCAGGGGGGAGAGACACTCGCCCTCTTGAGTCGATTAGCAATTCATTGTCACCAATTTGCCATATTTAACTATGTAAACAGAACTCAGGGCTGTGCGTGTTGAAAGTCCACAGAATAGTAACAACAACAACAACAACAACAACAACAGATAACTCTAATCAGATGCTATCTAAAAATACTTGTTGTACTCCTCTTCATGTCTCTGTTCCTTCCCTCACTCTATCCCTCTCCAGAAAACGGTCCAATGTAGAACAGGTTGTAAAGCTGACAACCCTTTCTAAGCCATGAATAAATGGCTCTAACTAAAGTGCAAAATCATGTTCTTTTGCTCATTAAATGTAACATGACTCAAAAGATACCCTGCATTTTGCAGCTGGACCTGTGTAGTGAGCTGTTAATGCTCCTGTCCCCGGGGTGTTCTCACTGCACATCTCTGGAAGTGGAAACTGGGTTGACTCTGCCCTGAATAGTTTGTCATGACACATGCCTTCCAATACATAAACACTGTGCCAGTACTTTGGCTATCAATAACTGCAAAGTTGAACTTCGTTTTAATTTCCTGTGCACAAAAAGGTAACAGTTAAATGACTGTCTTCACTGGGGAAAACACACCCAGTCTTATTTTCTATTCCGATAGATCTTTATTTAGAATGTAGACGTTGTGTGTTTATTTTTGTGAGGCAAAAGGCAACACTGCAGACACTAGAAAGCTATCAACCTAGCCTGCTGTCAGTGAGATGTACTGTTACTTTGTCAAGCTGCCTCATAATTAAATAAACAGACTGCTCTATTTTTGGAATGTTCAACACGGACCTCTTCTGCTGATAATGTGATGCGACAATGCAGTGCTGGTCACAAGTAAACTCTGTTCTAGATATATGTTAAACATGATTCTGTCATTACTGTATCTGGTCAGAATAGCTGCCATCACTATACAAAACCATTATTACCAAATAAAAAACAGGATATACAATCAAATGAATTCTCTAAATCTTCCTGATATTTGATAATCTATCTACAATGCATTATAGCTAGCTGCATCATTTATCAAAACAAACAGTCTTTCATTGGGTAAGTTCAAATGTAAAGCATATGCTCAAACCACCTGAGTTATTGTAAATGCTAAACTATGTGATATTACATTGATACACATATCATTAAGTCATTGACGTTGCTCATAAATTAGACAACCAAGAGGCATAATTCTTCTTTGCGCAAAGCCACTCATTTGATTTGACCTGCAATGGTCAACAAAATACATTTACCGATTCAATATCAACAACGTGAATAAACAAATCACTTGCACCCTAAAAAGGTGTCTGGATCCATATCGATACTACAGAAGGAATGTGACATCGGCATCAATGCCTGCAAGCAGAGTCTGCACTGCCATGGCTTTTATTACCATCTATTCTTCTCAATTGTTCTCAGCTGACTGAATGCCTAGTTATCTGAAAGCAATAGGACAATTGCAGTCTCCAATTTAAAATAAAGGCTTGACCTTCTGTACCCTTCATCTAGTCATGCACTCTGCCATTTTGCTAGTCATACAAACTTAAAGGAAAGGATAAATGGTTGCTTTTTAACACCAGCTTTTACAAGTTTCCCAAACTAAGCATAGTGGTCTATGAAAAATCATTTGAGGGTAATATGAGAAGCTCATGTATTGTGATGGTTTTATTCAGAGAATGGAACCAAAATATCAAGTGCTGTTATATGATATGCGATTAGCCTGCAAATGTATTTATTTTTTGGTTTGTTTTTTTCAGTCAGCAATTGCTTGATGAAAGACTGTACACACAAAAGCTTTTACTGAGGAGATTTGTATGCAGGTTTATGCCAAATGTTTATGGAGCACACCCAGGATGAGCGTCAGTGTCTTTGTGCATCATGTAATAATGAGTTTCACTGTTACTGAGGTCTTTGGACGTGTATGCATGGCTACACTGTGTATGTGTACAGGGGAGGACATAACTAAGATTGATCAGAGGGATATATACTAACAAGTCAATTAAAAAAAAGTCACATATGTATAAATGATACTTGCTAATGAGCAAGTATCATTTAAAGACTGGAGGAATAATTTATGACTGAAAAACATTGAGGTCTGTCCTATTTTTGAGCTTGGACTTTAACTAGGTTAAAAATAGACATTCGACAATGCTTTGCGGTATTATCTATTTATAAACCACTGAGAAATGAGTTATATTGGGAATCAACAGGAGCAGTGGCGGCCGGCCCATAGGGGCGTCGCCCACCCTCTTCCCACATGTTTGATTGTCATTACAAATAAAAAATAAATAAAAATATATATTAAAAAAAATATTTTTTTATTTTAATTTTGAATGAAGAAGGTAAATATTATATAGTTGGTATCAGTAAAATGTATAATCTACAATAAAATCTCGTTTAAAATTGTTTTACGATATCTAAAGTAACTGATAAGTCACATGTTTCCTGCCTGGCCGCGCGTGTATCATTACTCTCTCTCGTCCGGGCGGTAGAAAGGAGCCCTCAGCCAGAGCAGCAGCAGCCAACAAGCTGACTGTTGCTATCTGTAAACTATGCCGACGAAACATAATTTCAGCCAATCAGCGTCGTCAGATCTGATGCTCAAAGGGCGCCGTGTCAGCGCCCTGGCCTGTGTGTCTGTGAGTTGTTTGGACTCGTATCCAAGGTGACGCTATAGTAGTTGTCGAGGATGGCTGCGTCTCGGTGCTAGTGGATCGCCGGAGCTGTAGATTAACATTTACATGCTTATTGTAGTTGTAAGGGCAATGCCTGTGGCACCATGGAGCTATGTGTGGGCTGGACCTGTATTTTACAGGAAAGGAGTGAGCAGAGGGTCGAGTTGTCGATTCTTGTTCAGTTTTCATCTTCCTCACCCTCTCAAACTTTGAGTTGCGCGCGCTGCTAAAGAGACGCGCTACCATGGAAACCAAACAATGGTGTAGCTGTATTAAAGTCCGAGTGGAAACAGTCGTGAGTAAATCTGATTTTGTCAGAAATCGGGAGAAATATGACCCCGGGAGGAAACCGGGGAGAGGGCAATGAAATCGGGAGTCTCCTGCGAAAATCGGGAGGGTTGGCAAGTATGACACACACACACCCCCCCCCACCACACACACACACACACACACACACACACACACACACACACACACACACACACACACACACACACACACACACACACACACACACACACACCACACACACACACACACACACACACACACACACACACACACACACACACACACACACACACACACACACACACACACACACACACACACACACACACACACAATGTTCGTATTTAGTCTCCTTATTTTAAATGGGAATTAAATAATTTGAGTGTTCCCAAAGCACCAGTGTTCTGCAGTTTGTGTGGGCCTACTGTACTGTTGCACAGTTTTGGAAGATTCATAGCTAACCACACTGAAGATTATGGATTATCTCATATTTTTAAGCCTCAATTTGTCCTCCCCCCCCCCCCCCCCCCCCCACACACCCTCTAACATCACCAGATAATTTAAGGGGTCATTTCTCAAACATTTCTTCCGGGGGAAGATCCCCCCGGACCGCCCTAGTATGGTTTGGTCCCTATTTCCATAGCCCTACCAAAAATATTTTCCACCAGCCGCCACTGAACAGGAGGATGGCTCAGAGCATTACTGTCTGAGCAAAGTAGGAAGGTTACATACGATTAATGGATAATCTTTTATTTGTTTAAAAAAAGGGAACATCGGTTCAATAATGTAACTTTCCCCATCAGAGTATGCTGATTTTTAGTAAGTCTTCTTCAACCCTAGACGTATAAGCAAGGTATGTTATATAATGAATACAAAAATGCCAATTGATTTTTCAGGCCTATGACTTTTTTCGTATCAGCTCTTTTACTGATTTTCATCTTGATATGAATAGAAAACATATTTTATTCACAATGCGCTGTCTAGAATGTATGTAAACATGTTTTTGGTCCCTTCCTATAGCTAAGAGATGTGACCATTTCCATCTTATTCTGTAGTGCACTTAGTATTAAGTATTCATGCATTGGTCAATAAAACAACCTGACTCACTTTAAATCCAGAAGCAAAGAAGTGTCCCCCCAGGTTTTGCACTCTTCGTTACTTTTAAAATGCAGACAAACCCTAAAATGTAGGTCTTGTTAATTGTTGGTAATTACATAAATTAGTGATAGTTATGTAAATATTATGGGGAGGTTAAAGGAATATCACCACATATTTAAATATATGAATATTCTGTAACAGCTTATTTGCACTGGGATGTTGTTCTTTGTAAAATAAAATGTACTTAAATTATATATTTTATTTATTATACGTCAATATATTTTGTCCGGTAGGCAGAGATTGCAAGGAATTGTATCAATACAATCTATGCTGAGCATAAACTCAAGACAGACTAAAAAACATCCCACATTTACTGCCAAAACTTTCTTATTGATTGCTTTAATGCAAAAGTGACACTCCAATGACCTCTTGGGTACTGATACGAACACATTCATATGGAAGACAGATCTTTATAGTATAATTTACGCTAGGGGGCATAATTGATTGGACACGGTGTGCAGGAACCATTATAGCATTTTTTTTACGTTTGGGGAAATAAACTGAACCCAATTTGAAATGGCAATTTATACTGTAGATGCAAGTTCCACCGACACACGATAACACCGGCTCAGAGGCAATTACCTCAAAAAGTCCACTGAGCTTCACAGAAGGTCAAGAGAAATAAGAACCCGAAGAGGAACCTCAAAGACCCTCAAGGAATCAGAAGACACAATAAGTCCCTGAGGACTTCTTTAATGAATTAAAGGACAAGCAAACGATTTTAACTAACAGAGACCTTTTCAGAACCACAAAACCAGGATGCAAACACGACTTAACTGTTGGGCTGAATTTCTACTAAATGATATGCTCTACATGTGTCTATTTCTTATCAAATCACACAGTCTGCTTGTCAATGCGCCGGAAAAATGAATCTCAAATCCACTCTAAGCGGAGAAGCTTTAGGCTTCACATCCTTATATAATCAGATTACAAGCTAGACTATCTAAATTAGGCTGCACCGTGTTCAAAAATTAAAACTGAACCATCCACAATCATATAAAATAATAATTGTGTAGGAAGTGTCTCTTACTCCCACATCAAGTCAACCTTTGCTTCCCGACTCTGTCTCTCCCTCTATCAAGTTGTCACTCATTTTAACCTCACATTTCTCCTCTCTCGTCACTGCTCCCTGTCTCACCCAAATGCACCACATTTTCCCGCTCACTATATCCCATTCTTCCTCTCTGCTTCCCTTTTTACTTTACCACTTTTTGCCTTCCTGACTGTCATTTTTTCCTTATATCTTCTCTCTCATGCTTTTTGTCATCTTCTTTTTTCTTTCTGTTGTTTCGTTCTCCTTCCCTATCTCTGCCGTTCTCTCTTAGCTCCCTCTGTCTTCATTCCCCAGGGGGTATTATCTCAGTTGGAGGCAAATCTGCCCAATTATAAACATCATCTCCTCTCTCTCTCTTACACACACATATTAGGCGTTCCTGCATCCATCGGCGCCCACACACACACACACCGAACATCTCACACATAGACATAAGCATAAATACATTCACAGTAGCACAAAAAAAACATCTCCCTATTTTGCTCTTCTTCACTGTCTATTTCATTTCCTCCCAACGCACGCAGACACACACACACACGCACGCACACACACACACGCACGCACGCACGCACACACATGCTCACACATCACCTCCACCTCTCTCTGTCACACCTTAAAAAGCCAATTATACACGCTTCCTCCCTTCACCTCTTCTCTCCTCTCCCTTTTACTCCTTTCTTGCCACACTGATCTGGAAAGAACCATGACTAAAAGAAGGAGGGAAGATTGGAGGAGGAGAAGAAGATACAAGAGGAGCCTAACATAGAGGATAGGGGAGAAAGGGAAAATGAGAACAGAGGCATGGCAGGAGAGAAGATGATGGGGCAAGATGTGAGCTGGATTGAAAAAATGGAAAGAGGGGAGAGGAGAGGAAAGGAGAGGAGAGGAAAGGAAGGAGAGGAAATGACATGATAGAAGAGGAGAGGATAGAAGAGGATAGTATAGAGGAGAGGAGCGGAGCGTTAATTGCCCGGCCAGTATTAGTGCTGGGTTGACAGTTTCTTGTTGAGAGGAGAGCTGATTGGACGATAATGATGCTGACTACTGAACCTCCCCACTGCTGACCCAATGGAAATAGGAGAGGATTTTGGGGAGGCAGGGGTGCAGAGGAATGATGGATAGACAGAATGAGTCACACAATAAGTGAAAGCGACAACTCTTATTAGACATTTGAGTACAGCAAAACACACACCCACACGTTTGTAAATATTTTCTTGTAAATCTTTAATTAACTGCATTCATTCTCTAATGCTAGATCTAGGCTGCATCCCTACATTCCTAAGTCTTGTGCCTTACTATTCCTCCCTCCTAATCCTAAATTAGCTATTGGGTGATAAAACGGGCCTAAAATGACCTGACTTCCTAAAAAACGTCCTCACTCCCAGAGGACACACACCATAGATTTGACTCCCCCCCCCCCCCCCCTCTTTGCAATTGAAAATAAATTCTAATATTATTGAGATTTACCATAGCTGAAGGACAGAATATATTGCCTCATGCACCCAGAGACAGACAAATATCCAAGGTTGTTGACCAGAACAAGCTTTGTGGTGCTGTAGGACAGCAGGCTGGGGAAAACAAGATGTCAACAAGTACCATGACAGTAACTGATGCTAGCAGTGTAGAAACAATATAATGATACTGTGCAGTAGGATCGATGACAGAAGAGCCTCTATTATAGGAATCGCTTATTTAGCTAAGAAATAATATTACTAGTGTAAGAGAGTTTAATCCTCCCTTCTTCAAGCATATACTGTATGTAGAGATAATGTACCTTGTTGATATAGTGGCTCCAGGTCCAAGACGGTGTCTCCACTGAGATTACACAGCAAGGCCACTGCACTCTGGACCATCGCACTGGTGATGTTACTACTGTTAGCCTACAGAAAAGAGAAGAAAGAGATATGATAACAAGGTTAAATGTCAGCTAACAACAACAACAACAACAACAACTGTATGTAGATTTTTGTCTTGGTCTAAATTCACATCTACTTTCTAATATTAAACATGTGAAAGCTTAAAGTGGACCTATCATGCTAGATTTGAAAAATATATTGTAGGGCCATACCTATACAAAACATGTCTGTGAAGTTTTTTTTTCAAAATACCAAACAGATCACCCATTGTAGCCATGCCGCATACTGCTCATACCCCTCTTTTGCTGCCCTGTTAGAGAAACACGGATCTTGGGTCCTTAGCTTGAAAAAAAGAAAGAAGAGGAGGCGGAGCTAATGCCTGATCAGAATTCTACCGGAGTTAAAATTAGTTAAATTCTGCTGTGATAAAACGCCATCCTGTTTAAACCACGTCAAGGATTATTTCTGAAACAGTATGGAGCTCAAATGCTTTTTCTCTTGCAGGTTTATCACAAGGTGAGTTCTTTTTTCATTTCCTGCTTTTTAAACACATGTGCTCTTCAGTACAGGTTAGCTCTGAGTGTTAGAGAGGTTTGCTAATGTAAACAAAGACGAGATTACGTCCAAAACACGTCAGGCATTGCTTCTGATAGCAACTTTATGTGGGTCCGCCGACGTCACAGCGGATGGAAATCTGTATCCGCTCGTTGTACACCCGTTTTTAAAAGATTTGGGTACGGAGGAAAAGAGAGAGGGTTTTATTTTCTGACACTGCGTGAGTTCCCCGACGCACCGGGAACACATATTTATGTATAAAAGACATCACAGAGTGCATTTTGCATGATATATAATGTAAATATGCAGTGAACCTCCAAGCATGGTCAGCACCATTTATCTATAAAGCAATATTTGGTCATGGACTTGTGTAATTCTTCAAACTCACCTCACAATAAGCACCGTCTTATGTTACACAGCCAGAGCCTAATGACCAATTGATTATGGGATCTTATACTTAAACATTACACAAAACAAACAGCGTCATTTGCCACAGTACTGTGTTTTCATACAGGGTTCGGTGATACAGGGGACTTCTGCCCAGGCCTTGCATTGTTTATTAGAGAGATGGACACGGTGTGATGGACATGTCAGCATTGCTGCAAATTTCTCCAAGGGTTGAACTACTGCAAACAACTCTTCAGTTTTCCCAAAGTCTACCATTGCAGTAACATTATGAAACTATTTTACCTAAAAATTAGTGGTGCACGATAATTATCGGCCCAATAATTATCGGTCCGATATTAGGAATTATGACGTCATCCCGATAAACCCGATATAAGTATTAATAGCCCCGATAATATACAATATATTTTTTGGGTAGAAAAAAAGACTGCGGTGTGGGTGGATTGGGATGAGGGACGCTTGTTTTTCACTCGGCTCCTCCCGTTTTGCCAGTACTGTGGTATTAGTGGTTTAGGAAGAGGGGAGTTCTTCACAAATCCAGCGCTCCCTAACTCATGCCTGGCTGTGACGTAAATGGTGTGCGGCCGTGAAGCCAGGACAGTAAACAAACATGTCGCCGGTAGTATGGGACTATTTCAAAGTTTCAGAGTTAGATAGTTCGCTTGCTATTTGTATTAACAAATGCAATGCAGAAGTTCCACGAGGAGGGAAAAAGGCAACGAGCTATAATACTTCCAACCTGATTAGTCACCTGAAACATCGCCATCGCTACGATGGTGTGTTAAAAGCGTACGAAGACGCCTGCGCTGCTAAACTAGCGGCGAATCCAAAGCCAGCTGCAAAGGCACCGGGGCTTTTACCTATCGACGAGGCTTTTGAAAAAGGCAAGAACTTTATTTGGGAAAATAAATATGGTCACTTTGAAGAGTCAAAACTGTTCTTGGCTTTGTTTTGTTCATAGTAGTAATGCTCATGTCATTTGCTCACTACTAGTCTTTTTTTTTACCACCAGGTGTGCAAAAACTACAGGTACATTTAATATATATATATATATATATTATATTATTATCGGTTATCGGTCTTGAGAAGCAGGAAGTTATCGGTATCGGTATCGGTTTCAAAAAACCAATATCGTGCATCCCTACTAAAAATAACAGCTTCAAAGTTACTTTGATGCTACACTGACTTGTAGTAGGGATGATGCTGTCTGTGTGTACCACTTTTACCACATTATTGCACTATAACTTTATGGGTCATATAATATCCCGGGAAACGTGCGTGAGGCTTGAAGGCACTCAGATCATTTTGGAGAAACTGGATCATTTTATCTGGATATAATATGTTCTGCTTTTCCCTATGATGTTCTCAGGCTGTTATGCTTAGACATTTGGTGATTTACAGAGTTTTCTGATGGAAAACTTTACTCGTTGTTAAAGTAACGCTAGCATTTTTGTTACAGCATCAGACCTGGGCACGCAGGCAACAGTCCCAACTTGAGCAGCCCCTTTGGACATCATGGTTGAAACAGAGAAATTGAGGATGTTGAAGGAGGAAGTAAAGAAAAAAAAAAACTGATGAGAAAGAGGCCAGTAGCACGCTACCAGAGTAATGCTCTGACTCTGTTTCAGAACATTAGGTCGCAATGCAAATGGCAACCTTACTATTTTCCTTTTCCATCAGTAAGTAAGATTAGATGGGCTGCAATGTCTCACTTATTGACTTACTTGATGTTTGGCAGTGCTAACCAATATATCGACTTGGTCGTTTTTTTATTATCACTAATGTAATCATAACAAATGCATGTTAGCTGTCCATATATACCACAGCAGTGTATAAGTGAATTTTATTCTGAAACTGTGGGGGCACTCAATCGAAGAAATACAGAAACATTATGTTGCTTAAAGACACATCTGTGAAACGGTTTGCCAGAAGCACAGTCCTATGCCAAAATGATCTCCACCTGGGAGATCATTTGATGTTTTATCTGAGAATCATATTCTGCCAACTGTGACAATTGTTACTGCAGCACAGGATCAAATTCATTCTCTTTATCAGAGGAGGGTTTACTTGTGACCTTTGATAGTTAATTGGGTTTTAAGAGACAAAGGAGCAAGGCTGTAGTCTACACTTTCCTCTCACCCCTATCTCATCAATTTCTCCCTTCTCCTCCTTCGCTTTTTCCCTCCCTCTTCTTTTCTTTCTCCTCCTTGCAAAACCTTGTCTCTTTCCTCCTGCAGTAATCCATTTCTCCTTCTGTCTCCTGCCCTCATTTCACTATTTGATCCACTCGCAGATACACCAGCTCTGCCTGCGGGGTCTGTGCGCATCGGTGTGATCTGTGTACGGGCCGATAAGCCTGACTGGTACTCATCATGTGCAGTAGCCTGAGGCTGAAGACAATGACATCAATTCACACCTAGGACAACCTGCCTGTCAGTGACAACAAATGACTCATTTATTTTGATCTCTATGGACTAATGAGCCGTGAAAGGACTATCGTGTTCACCCCTGAAAGCGTAAACGTGACAGAGATCAATGAGGAAACCAAAGCGAATTTTAACTTAGTGACTCATGGTCCTGCACCTTTACTCAGAGAGCATTGAGCATGTATTGGTGATGGATCTACAGAATGTACTGTAACTGTGAGTCTCTGCCTCCTCAGGCACGACAACCAAACAGTCAGAGAAACATGGTCGTTTCGGTTTCCTGACGTCCTTTCATGTCTGAAGTAGAAACTACTTCATCATGTAGACAAATACAATTAGGTGAGTTTCTCCATGACAAGTGTGATCGCCAGAGGCAGGTGTAATCAATCCACATCACAGAGTTTCAGGCAGCATAAATCAATCCAACGTGAGCTTTACAGACGGCACTAATGGATCCTGACATGACCAGTTCAGACGGGAGTAAACAATCAGGAGAGGAGTTAATCAGGCTGTTGGATTACAGTGTTTAACATTCTGCATCAGCTATTCAGGGCTGGACAGGCAGCCATGCAGAACACTGATTATTTAGAGTGAGAGTGTGTGTGTGTGTGTGTGTGTGTGTGTGTGTGTGTGTGTGTGTGTGTGTGTGTGTGTGTGTGTGTGTGTCTTGTGTGTGTGTGTGTGTGTGTGTGTAAACTGAAATTGTTTACTGCAGTACAAGTGTTTCGGTTCGCTGAAAACAGATCGCACTGCTTGTGTGTTCATTAGATTGCGTGTATGCAAAGAGGGTCAGGTGAAATAAATTGTTTACTGGAAACGTTGTTATGCTTGGCTGATAACAGACAAGTGCTGCGTGTCTGTGTGCATGCGTGTATGTGGTATCTTAATAGCAGAGTCCAAATTCTCACTCTATTAACCCTTCCTGCTCTCTGTGGATGACCTGCCAGTCAATTACACCAGCCCTCTAATAGGTCAACACCACTCAGACTCATTTACATAACTTGGTCTATAAGGGTTGGATGGAGCGCGTAAGAGAGGAAGGAGACAGAATACAATTGAGCTGTAATAAAATGCAAAGGAATTGCCAAAAAAGGATACAGATGTGATAACAGAGTTTGAATAGCTGATTGTAAGACTGTCGACTGATTGACTGACTGCATGACCAAGGGATTTGCTGATTGGCTGAGAATATAGATGAATTGATTATGTGAAATTGGTCTCTTACCATAATGAGTTGAAATACTGCTGGTAAGATCCTACTGTGTTTGATGAAGCTGAAAAGGGAAGAGAAAAATACACATTAATTGGAGCAGAGGTGGAAAAACGAGGGGCGAGACATTTATGTAATTTGGAGGCAATTCACTGCACTGTTCACACGTGCGCACACACTGGGCTGTTTCATCTTCATTAAGGATGGAGTTCCGCTACAACGACTGCTGCGTGGTGCCAGTGGAATTGGGGAGAGAAGAGAAATAAAAAGAGGAGAAGGGATGAGAACAGATAAAGTGAAAGGAGGTAAACGAGGAGAGGAAAGGACATAGAAAGAGGAGATGAGAGTTAAGAGAACAGGGGAGAAGATTTAGGCAGAGAATAGATGTAGGACAGAAGAATGGATAGAAGTGAGAATAAAAGGAGATGTGGTTGAATCCTCATTGAAAAGAAAGAAAGGCGTGTGAGTAGAAGAAAGATGGCTGTCTATATTAGCAATGACATTCTGCCTACTTACTGATTAAGGTTCTTTGATTTGCAATCAATTACTGCTTGGTCGGAGACGTGTCAACCAATATACACACACCTGGCTTGTGTAGGAAAGCAAGAAAGCATTCAGACTGTAATGGGGACAAAGCAGGCTGAAGCAGACAAGTGTTAATATGTTGAAAGCCAGTCCACTGATTCAACAATCTGTCTCTTTATTTGAACTATGAGTTATAGCTTGTCTGGCAGACCGAACTTATAATGATGTGATGTTCTTCAACGTTATCACAATGATGGTGTAACAACAGGTTGGCTTTTTTGATAAAAGTTAGATGTTCCGTTACAATATCAGGTCAAGTCCTTCAAACTTTTTAAAGTGCCTTTCTACTCCTTTTTGCTTTTTTCAGATGCTTGCTTTATGTTTTATATGTGGGCTGAGATCCACTTTGCCTTTGATTGTTGTATCTGATTACTTTCGCTGTTGCCTGAAACTCACTTTTTACACAGAAATCAATACCAGTTTCATTTCATCTTAATGTGTTCTGAGAATATATTCCCCACACCATTACACCAACTTCTGAGTAAAACTATCAGCATCTGCCAAACACACTGCGATTCATTTGAAACAGTGCTAGTTTTCAGGGGGTTATATCAAATATCAATGCAAAAGAAAACAGCTTCTACTTTAGAATTGTTTTATTAACAATTTTTGGGCGCTAGCCACAAAATGTTATGTTATGTTATGTATCTTATGTTGATGAGTCTTAATTTCTTTGTTTTACGCCTGATTCTTTAGTTGGACCATAACTGATCTGCAGCGACGTGCAGTCAGGGGAGGCAGGGGAGGCAGAGCCTCACCTGTCATACTCCAATGTAACGGAAAAACAACTAAAGAAAAACTAAATAGTAATAATAATAAAATGTCTCCACTGATCTGTGTTGTAAATGTGATTTCTGTATGATTCCAATCGCTTTTTATAGTCAAAATCAGCAAATTGGCCGAGCTCCGCTACAACTACATGGGAGCGATGAGGAGTGAGGCAGGGACGAGCTCTGCCTCACCTCAGAATGCGTCACCCCACAGAAACTGTCTGGAAAGCGGGCCCTAAGCTCATGCCTGCACCATCTCACTGTATGTCACCATTAATGTTTGTAGATCCCTCTATTACATTTATCCTCGCCATCCATAGTCTCTAAATAACTTATTTCACGTATATATGATATTTAGACTCGCTGGTCTCATCATACAACGGCAATGAAAAAAGCACCAGGGGAGGCAGCCATAACCTCTGCCGCACTGACGGGGGCGCAAGTGAGCCCACAGGTTCTCGTTGCTACTGTTATTCTACGTAGAGACGGTATAGACGCAAACAACAAACTAGACTTTTGAAACTAGAGGAAGATAAGGAGGACTTTTACAAACATGTAATGGAGATTGTTGTCCAGAAGGATAGCATGGACTTCATCTTCAAGTCAAGGTAAGACCACAATTGTAATGAACATGGGATCTTACTAAGAAAGAACAATTCAATATTTAGATTTTGGGTATCCTTTTGTTGAACGGTCTGTTTAAAATGAATCGAAACATCAGACCAAAAAAGCTTTTGAAAATAACCGAACATTTCGATTAAGGTCAAAATATAATATTTGTAAATCTGACTCTGAAAGAGTCAGTGCCTCACCAGCCATGAACCTCACCGCACGTCACTGCTGATCTGACAGTTTCCAAATGCATTAAAACACCTTCCTCCCTACTTCGTCCATCATCCATAAAGGGGACATTCAAGGCGAGCAAGTGGTCATGTTTATGACATTTCTATTTCTGCTGGCATAAAACCAAAGGAAAACAAACCAAATCCAAGAGTGAAGAAGTAGGTCATTTTCACAAAAATGCCAACAAATAGTCTGAAGAGACCGGCACAGACAAATTCAAAGACAAGAGAGGGCCAATGCACATTCAAGGACGGGAAATAAATGTGGTTGTTTATGAACGAACTCTGATCATGCGATGTAATCTGTGTCATGTCGTGCACGCTCTTTGCAAGCGCACCCCTTGCCTGAAGCAATGGAAGTATTTTCAGTAAGTGAGAATGCTCCTCACACGGACAATCTCCTGATGTGCGCTACATGTGTGAAAGGGGATTTATGTCCAGACCTGATCTCCAGACAGGAGTTCATACAAGTAGACAGCATTAGCTTGTGTTTGTGGATGACGGATGGCCTCCCATTAGGAAGGTGACAGGCTGAGAGATGACAGGACAGGCCAGCACGACATGATAAACTGGACCACCTTTAAACGACAAGCCATGTATCAACAGACACACTTGCACAACACCAGACATTGAACAACCCGTAGCACAACAGACCGCCTAAACTAAACCTCACATTAGAGACAACAATGAAGTTAGATTCACCTCTGCTGTCCTTGTCATATTATTCTCAGTGAGCTACACGTGTAGCTCTCTAAAGCTTTGTCTGTGATATTTAAAGTGAATAGTGGACCTTGCTATTTCAAGTGAAGAGATAAATCAGGGGTGGCCAACCCGCGGCTCTCGAGCCGCATGCGGCTCTTTGCCCAGTTTCATGCGGCTCTTCAGTTCATATCGAATTTTATATGTGTGAGTGTGGGGGAGAGACACTGACTCCTGGCAGTTAAACCTGATATTTAGTAGGTCTGTTAAGTATTGAATGCTGATAATTCTGACGTAATTTGGCCGGTCAAAGTTGTTTGGGCTCGAATAAAATCGCTCCGTTACTTTCGTCCCGTGTTACTTTCGTCCCGTGTTACTTTCGTCCCGGCTCTCCCTACGTGTGTATGTGTGGTGTCAGGTGTTAGTATGAGAGGATGACAGCGTGGCTAATTTTGATGTGGCCCAAGAGCCAATCACAATAATACCTGCGATGCAGTGAACCAATCACCTTTGAGGGGGGGGGGGGGAAACCTATCGTTGATTAAACACTATCTGACCATGAACTGAGTTTGATCCTAAAATGACAGGGAAGAAATGCACAGCTAAGCGAAAATATGAAGACGAACATAAGAGAGAGGGACTAAAGGGCGAAAGTTAAAAATGCTGCCTGACCTAGTGCAAAGTGTATTAGCGTTTGTTAACAAACTAAAACTGTTTAAGACACATCTTCAAAAAGGGAGACTTAGCGCATTTTCCCTCTCTGCTAAAAGCAAGCCCACAAGCCACCTGTGCCACCCGGAAAAAGCAAACAGCCCGTTATGCAACATTGGTTGAAACCCTGCAGGAAAACTTTGCGACCCGGTTCCATGATCTACATGTGAAAAGGCCACAGACTACGTTCCTCGTCGATCCTTTTAATGCTGAGACGGACTGTTTGAAAGCCCCGCTGGTCAAGGACGAGGCGGTGGCCGAGTTGGAGATGATCGAACTTTCAGAGGATGACCGACTGAAACCTGTTCTGAGGGAGGGGGCCCTTGAGTTCTGGAAAACTGTGCCAATCACAAAATACCCCAATGTCAAACGGGCTGCGCTCAAGCAACTTTCAATGTTTGGGTCAACATACGTCTGTGAGTCTGTGTTTTCTACCCTGAAACACGTGAAATCCAAACATCGATCTGTTCTGACTGACACACATGTGAGAGAATTGCTTCGAGTGGCCACAACGGAATACATACCAGATTTGAGGAGGATTGTTCAAAGCAAGGAATGTCAGAAGTCACACTAATTTAAAGTGAGATAAAAAACCTTTTAAATGTTGTTTACTGAGAGTTTGTGTGTGAGTGCACACAATGTTCATTGTTATGTTGTTATGTTAACTGGCCGCTGAATACTGGTAGGAGAGGTTTAATTCAATTTCTGTCAATATTATAGTGTGTGACATTTACAACAAATCTGTCTGAGCAAAGCTATATGTGTCTATCTGTGTGTGTGTGTGTGTGTGTGTGTGTGTGTGTGTGTGTGTGTGTGTGTGTGTGTGTGTGTGTGCACATGTGTGTGACTGTGTGTGTGTGTGTGTGTGCACATGTGTGTGACTGTGTGTGTGTGTGCACATGTGTAAAGTTTTAGATTTTAATTTTGTCTGTGTGAGAGAGAGAGGGGAGGAAGACAGTGAAGGAGCACAGAGAAAGGCTGAGAACAAAAGAGGGAAGGAGGGGGGGGGGGGTGTGCACACGCATCTGTGACTGTGTGTTTGATGTGGCTCTTTGCAGTAACATAGTAAAAATGTTGGCTCTTAATCTCTGACTGGTTGGCCACCCCTGAGATAAATGATCTTAGCATTTGGAAGTTTCAGTTACTACAACATTCTCTCCTAGAGGGTTGTCAAATGTTCCCAAATGATGCAAATTCATAAGTTTCTTTATAGTTTTAAGAATATTCTTTATAATTGTTGTAATATGTTGTCATGCATTAATTCACAACAGAAAGCAGCCCAGTAAAACAGTTTGTTGCATTTAAAGACTAAGTGTGTGCAAACGACCACCTCCGTGTTTTAAAACACATAATGGTTCCACTTTCCTCTTGCTTAGAGACACTTGGGTGTCCAAATCACTATGGTAATTTGATGAAGTCATGGTTTTGCAAGCTTTTAACTGATTAAAAAAAAAGAAAATCACATGGGCAAGTAATGTGAGTTGTAGTGAATATTCTACAATCACAATACAATAGCAATCCAATGTATTTTAGAGAAAACATAATCTGATACTTGGTTGATTAATCATGGCATGTGTGAAAAGGCCACATCCACACATTTGGTACACATACAGACAGTATGTATGGGGACATTAAAACATACTTGAGCACACACACACACACACACACACACACACACACACACACACACACACACACACACACACACACACACACACACACACACACACACACACACACACACACACACACACACACACACACACACACCACACACACACACACACACACACACACACACACACACACACACTCACACACACACACACACACACACACACACACACACACACACACACACACACACACACACTTTGGCTAAAGGTCACAGTAAATGTAGTTGTTTGAAGGTGTGTCTGGGCTGTGATAATGCAGAGAGAAACAGCAGGCTGCCTTCACAACGCTAATGTCCCCAATTTACCATCTAATTACCGCTCGGCTGGCTTCATAGCCACACTTATCTAACCAAGACCCAGGCAATTTAATTTCTGATTGTATAACCGCAGTGATGGAGGGAGAGTTGTGGAGAGAGGGCACAGAGAAAGAGAGAAACGAGGACTAATGTTCATAAATTACAGATGGTGCGAGAAAGAACGAGGGAGAATGTGAAATATTGTTAATAATGTCAGAGGGAAATGAGTGAGAGAAAACAGAGATGTAGAGAGGAGAGTGCTGACACCAATTTGAAAAGTTCACGTCACTCGACTTCTGTCAAGGAAATAAGGGAATGAGGAGAGGTGGAGGAAGGGAAGGATGGAGACGAGATGGGCGGAACATTACTGATAAGAGACGTAGGGGGGAATTCAGATATAAGGGTGACCTTTGAACCCAAGGATGGTGTGAAGAGATGGAGGGGAAGTGGAATTATAGTGATAAGAGGTTTGTTAAGTTAGTAATGCTGAAGTAGATACAATAAGTGGATGGAAGAGGGGACAAAAATGAAGGGGAAGGACGAAACAGAAGGTTAACTATCAAGGTTGAAAATGAATACTTAGTAATGAATGATTCATATAGAAGTGTTGATAAAACAGCACCGTTGTCCGTGCTACCTAAGCGCTAGGAAGTGATGATGTTGATTCACACTTCATACTATTCAATACTCGTCTTTCACCTTTTGTTAACATTTTCTCTCCTTCCCAACTGAATCTCCTTGTCTATTTATTTCTTACTTTCTTCATCTATCCTTTCTCCCAAGCATACATTCACTTCTCTCTTTCTTTATGCCCCCATTTTTACCCTCACCTTCCTTGTCAGTCAACAGCTAAAATAGAAGCCAGATGACCAGAGAATCAAGATGTACTGACAGCTGCTGTTAGAACACGTCCATCAGACCCACATAGATCATTGCAAGCACCAGTAAGACGCATGCCCACACGCACATTTGCACACACAGGTGGACCATCTCATGGTTAGAATAAGGATCAGCAGATTCTCGGTGCAACCAAACCAGAAAACCCATCAACTGACTGCTTCCCCAAGGCATGTTTTTTTTAATTCATGTATAGCAACATTACTTTGACGCTATGCGGTAGTGGATTTTATGCCAGCAATAATTACGGTTGTTGATCTAAAGATAGTATGCAAAGAAGTATCAACACATCTCAAAGGATACAGCACTTTATGCATGCAACTAAACCCATTACTCAAGTAGAAAACACTGGCTTCAAGATGGGATGAAAATGTGTTTGTGCATGAATCCATGTGTCTGCGTGTGCGTCGTTGTGAATACAATTCAGCGAGTAATGATTTACACAGCTGAACTGGGAATAACCGGCCTTGGTATTAAAAAATTACAAGTGCCTAAAATGTGTGTGCGCCTGCCAGGACTGCAAAACACTTTTAAATTACCACAGCTCAGTCTTGGCCAGAACCAGAAGAGTCAAAAATATCTCAAGTTTACAAAAACATTTTCACAAAAGTTCAGTTACTATAAGAAAGAATAAAGTATGTTAAAGGGGCCCTATTTTCCTTATTTTCCAGTTTCATATTTGTATTTTATTTCATATTTGCCCGATTGGTTATATGGCCTGCTCTGTTGTTATTGGTGAACCGCTTAGTGATGCCCCGCACCTAAACATAAGCTCATTCCGCACACATTGAGTTGCAATGCGTTTAACATCATGCAAAGTAAATGCAGAGACACAAACGACGTGGCGCGAATGATGACATTAGCGAGACTCGCATCATTTGCGAGAGTCAAAAGCCAATCAGCTTTGAGAATCTCAGACTGATATCACTGATCGTGAATCAGAAAACCAAAACAGGAGCCGTTGGCTCTGGGCAACGGCACACGGCTCCTCATATCTGTTCAGAAACTGGAGAAAAGTTATAAATGACTGTCTATGGCATGGCAAATACAGTTGCTGCTATATTTATGTCTGTCTGGAATTGCTGTGAGTGAGGACAGGGCAGCTTCAACGGTAGCTTAGCCGGATCGATCCGATCTCCATTAACAAAAACACGCATTTTAAATGTTTTTCGACTGTCGTCTTGTAAGCACATTTCAAAGCATTAATTCATGGTTTCTACTGACCGCTATGATTATGTAGTTATTTCTGCCCCATTTTGAAACGTGTATTACAATTAAATCACGGTAAAATGTGTTCATTTTTGTTGTTATCTACCATAGTATCTACATATAGATAAGCCCTGCATCATCGCCAGTACGTCTTGTTTGAGTGTGGTGTGTGTGTGTGTGTGTGTGTGTGTGTGTGTGTGTGTGTGTGTGTGTGTGTGTGTGTGTGTGTGTGTGTGTGTGTGTGTGTGTGTGTGTGTGTGTGTGTGTGTGTGTGTGTGTGTGTGTGTGTGTGTGTGCAGTACCTGCAGATGTGCGTGCTGTGTTCAGTCATCGATACCAGCAGTTTGAGTGCGTAGAGTGGGATAGGCTCTGCTGCTCGAAGAAGAGTCTCGTACCTACACAAACACGCATGAGAACAACATTTGGCTTTCATGGTGTAAATAATAAATGTACTGTTCTAATCATTAGTAACTGAGTGTAAACTGGAAACGCTCTGGAGAGAGGGATGGTGAGGAGGGGGAGGGTAGAAGTGGAGTTACAATAGGAGACGAGGAGAGAAAAAAGACATGGGAAGAGGAGAAGAGGAGAGAAGTTGAGAGGCAAGAGGAGAGATGTGAGTGTGAGAAGGAGAAATGAAAAAAGGTGAACAAGAGGTACACATGAGGCAACACTGAGAAAGAATCACGCTTAAAAAAAGGGAAGATATGAATAGTAATGGTAAAGGAGGAGACTGTATAGCTCAACATAGAGGGTTGGAAGTAAAGTGAGAGAAACGCAGCACAAATGTCAACTTCTATTTTCCATTTTTGTTACTCTGTCATGAACTTCTACAAACTGCTCTCAGCAGAATGCATTGTTGTTTGAGGCTTACACTCGTAAAACAAATGCTTTTCAATGTGTTTGACAATTAAAAGGATGTGATATGAACCAAAAGAAGATGGAAGGACACTAGTATTCATAACAAGATTGTAACTCCCCCAAAATATCAGTTATTCATCATAGAAAGATGGTTGGATATTATTTCCTTGAAAGAGTGCTAGCTGCTTAAGCATAGGACAAGGTAGGACTTCATGGAACATTGTCTAAAGTGTGAAACAGGGGTTAAAGGAAGTGTTGTTTTAATATCGAGAAACATATTCAATAACAATACTACTGACATCAAATGATTTTGGTCTTTTGGACTTATTCCTAAAGTATCAACATCTGATTGGTTACCTTGTATTGATGTTAAAATGCCATTTAAAAAACCTACAATGCTTTTTTGTTCAGAAACAAAATGGAGGGACAGAGGGACACAGAGACAGTATAAAAGAGATTTTTAGAAAGAGTCTGACAAACCTTGGAAGCAGGGATTTAGTGTCCAGAGCAAATATTTGATCATAGGAGCTTCCAGCAACCCTTCTTTCAGCAGGATTTCCTCTTTCCTCTGTTCCTTTCTGCTTTTTCTCTGTCTCCTCCTCTCCTTCTGTTCCATCCCTCCCCTGGACCAGCAGGACAAGACTGAGTTCGGAGAGCACCCTCAAAACAAACACAGACCACTCCACTGGAGCACACGGAGAAAGATATTATTCACATGGAATAAAGAAGTGTTTAGAACAACGATAAATTACACGTCAAACAAGTAAAATGGGAAAGTCTGTATACATATTCATTACGATATAGAGTAGTTATATATATACAAGAATATATACATTCTCTTACATAGGTGAATTCAGAGCACAACTCAATATTATACGCTCTTTAATATTAAACTAAATAGTGTGACATGAGACACTGGCAGTAGCGTGGTTTGTGCATTAACCATTCGGACTAATGCCCCTATCTCTTATTTCCTACTCTTTCCAATTTGCCATTTCCTCTATTCACTTTTCTTCCTCCCTCTCTCTGACATTTGCTTCAATTTCCACATATTCTCACTCTCTCTATTCTCTCTCCCCGGTCCAAAATGCCCTTCCATCTCTCTTACCATTTCTGCTGAAAGCCAGTGTTGTCAGAGGAGGCAGGATGGCATCCACAACCTTCAAGAGAGGTAAATAGACAGACACATATTTGTTTACACCTGTAACTCAGCATTGCGACCAGGAAGCCTTGTAAAAAGCTGATACTCAGTGGCAAAACAATCTTAGGATTTCGCACAATTATTACGTTGTGTTAAATAAGTTCATCTGCAGATAATGTCTGTGCAACGGACATGAAAAAACGCAGGCCAAAACTGGGTGAAATACTGTAGCAGCAGACATGAACTTTAGAAACTCACTGCTGAACAGAATCTAAATATATATTAGCAACAGTTCAATATTGTCCAGTGTCCTTTCATTGAAGGGGGGAGAGCAATTTCCGCCTTTCCACTGAAAAACGACTTAATATACGGCACATCTGAAAACAGGACGTCTTTTTTGATTAAACTGAATAAAAGACACTTCACTGTATTAATTCAGTGGGCATCGTCCACACAGAGGATCACATTACCATGGAAATGCAATGTTGTATGATCCATTTAACACACACACACACACACACACACACACACACACACACACACACACACACACACACACCACACACACACACACAACACACACACACACACACCACACACACACACACACACACACACACACACACACACACACACACACAAATGAACTTTCTCAATTCCTAATATAGACATGTATCTGTATTGCATGAATTTGCATGATTACTTATATTACCATAGAAACAACACTAATGCTGAGTGAGAGGTCATTTCATTGAAAGCCAGAGCGAGGAAACTACAAAGGATGTTGTCCACCACTTAATGATGTGTATTAATATAACAACCATCAAAAGACTGTGTGTGTGTGTGTTTGTGCGTGTGACATGTCTGAAATCCTTTCTTGTCCCCATTTTATGTTTTAGCTCTCTTACCAAGTCACCTAGTAACCTCATCTACCTATTTTACATGTGCAAAAGCTGCCAAAGAAGACTGTATTCACTGCAGTCAATACAAACATAGTTTGATTATTTTTCCAATATACCAGGGGGGTGTACTACGAAGCAGGATTTTCGCTTAGCCGGCTAACTTCAGGGAAAACTCTGGGTTTCCGGTCCTACGAAGCTGGTTCTCTTTTTAGCAGGCTAGATCTCCATGGTAACTTATGCTGTGCGGCTAACCTGCTCCGGAGCAGGTTAGGTTGCAGGCTAAGAGTTCAACTCAGTGAAAGCACTGCCTGCTGACCAATCAGAGCTCAGTGTGCGGAGTTTAAAGCGATCAAGTCATATTACAGGAGAAAGGAAACTTGCAGGAAAGACGGCCGGCAAAAATCACCGACTGTGTGAACGTGAACATTAATAGAATATCACCTCCCATCTTCAGAGCAATCTGACTATTATAACATTAGCGTTAAGAAAGCTTACTTAAATATCTGCCACAACATAACGGATCAGAGTAACATTAAGTACAGTCCGCGGCATATCACTTCATAATGTATCATATATTTCCTTATCTGAGTCAGCTGAGCCGTATCTGGCCGTGCAACACTCAGTGTCACATACTGTATGCAGAAGTATTATTTTAAGCAACACATTAAGTTGACGAAACACTCGAGTCAAATGTAATTAAAGTCAGATCGTGTCTTAGACGGGTCAGTGATATCATAAACCTGTTAATGTACGCATTCAAACGCTTTTTCTTTTACCAGCTGTATTCACCTTGCAGGTGCAGACTATGTGGCTTTGATCCTGGATAAAGTGTTTAAGTCATGGATGTTTAAAGTTTAACTTCTTCATATGTCTAATTATATAGTATAATGCTCCAAATACCACCCCTTTCATGTGAACGCGCACCTAACTAGATAGGACACGGCTGGCTTGAGCGATCCACTTGATAACCCGTGTCGTAGTACAGTTTAGCGAGAGCGCGTATGTTTTGGATTAGGCCAACCGGCTAACTCAAACATATCCAGGTTAGGTTGAACCAGCTTCGTAGTACAGGCCTCTGCTGTGCTGAAGCTACTGTCTACCATTCATTCAACAACAAATATGCTATGGTTAGCATGCAGCTCCTAAAAAGAGACAGAAGTGTATGAAGATGCTCAGTATTTATTGGCCTTACTAGAAGACTGAATGCTTGATAATGCCGCAAACAACACTGAAAAGAAGATGGTGATTTACCCAAAACAACAAATTGAAATATTATTGATCAACGTTGTTAATCAACTCAATTTGATATTGTTTAAGAGTAATGCAAATGCAACCACTGGACAGCTTGTAGCCCCTACATTAATTTGACTATCAACTGGGACACTCAGTTAATTGCTCTCCATCACTACTTGATATCATTTGGCAGTGTTTCCATAGCTAAAATGTTTAACTTTTTAAGATGACTAAAGCACAAATAACGTTCTGGTTCTGTTGGCCAAATTTCCTGCAAACTTTACTTTGTATTAAGTATTCTGAGAGGTAAAGTAACTCAAACAGCACTGAGTGTCCTTGTCCAGCGGGCATTACAAGTGAATCTGAGCTGGCTGTCGGTAATTAAAGTGTCTTCCTGTGTTATTGACTATCAGTAGCAGCAAACCTCCTCTCTGCTCCTATTCTCTATTCCTCATCTCTTTTATTTTTATTTCCCCCCATCCTGTCTGCTTCCTGCTGCTTTCTACTTCAATATGTCAATAGTCATTAAACACAATTTCTTCGTCCTATCGCATGCACATTCACGTACGCGCACACACACACACACACTCTTAGAAACAGACAAGTTTAGAATGAGGCTCCGTTGGTTCAATAGTTGATTAGTGTCTTGCCTAATAGCACACAAGGAGACCCTTTGTCCTCTGACCACTAATAGCCAGGTTTGATATACTGGAAGATACGTGCTGAATATAAAACCTGGGGCACTATGAAATGGAGATATTAATAAAGACTCTTAAACCTGACCATTCTTATATGCCTCACTTTTTCTCTGCAAGCTGTCTTATAACAGCAAAGCAATGTATTACTTGTGTTTTTCTAAAATAGTAAACAATAAAACATGGATAGTAGAAATCTGATGGTTGCAGGATAATATGACTGTTCGTGTCATTCTTTATTTCTTTAATAAAGTCTCTGCAGACAGTCAGACAGAAATATATGGGCTCAGAACAGTCTCATAATACCCACATGCACACAGAAGGATTCACACTTGTATTTCATGATCCGCAAAAGGATCCACACTTGTATTTTTCAATGCACACACAAATGTGTTCCGTAAATGTAAATAAAATCCAAATACAGAAAAAAGTTTTACATATGTATTTTTGATCCTCACATATTTGTTTTCCGTTTAAAACCTCTGCACCTGCAAACACAAACCGCTTTCTGTGCACGGATCGCTGTGCCTTCGTGTGTGGGTTTTTTGAGACTCCCCTGACGGTCAGCCGATTCGTACTTGTAATTTTTTCTATCTATAGCCAATCAGATGTCTCCTCCATTCTAAGCCAATCACATGAGCGCGCCCCCACGAGGGTAGATTTCTTGCGTTCATGACGTAGCGCTTCATGTACGCATTTTGCACAGTCCGGAGCTGACAGGTCCATGGAGCCTGCCTGCAGGCGCTAATCTCAGGACACCTCCACTCTCAGTACATTGCCACTTTCCGAACAGGAAATGCACGCAAAATACAATATTTTATATTATTAAGGTACCGCGCCACTTTCCGAACCATTGATGAATGCTTGTGTACACAAAAACGGCAGGCAAAACCGTTTTAAATGTGTGTTTCCTGTATGGCGAATACAGCTGCTTTATTTATGTCTGTACGAAGTTGTTGTGAGTGTGGAGGGAGCAGCTACAGGTTAGCTTAGCCTATTCGATCAGTGCACTACGAAGCCAGTGCAAGACAGTGACCTGTCAACGGGGGGGAGCCCCGCCGGTCATTATCGGCCGATATTCACTAGTTAATAGTTTGATCGGTGCTGCTCTCTATAAAGGCCGATCAGGAGAGCTGGGTCTGATCGATATGGACATAAACGCGAGTGAAGTATAACCGGACGCAAGTACGAATCGGCTAACCGTCAGGGGAGTCTCAAAAAACCCACACACGAATGCACAGCGATCCTGCACAGAAAGCGGTTTGTGTTTGCAGGTGCAGAGGTTTTAAACGGAAAACAAATATGTGAGGATCAAAATACATATGTAAAACTTTTTTCTGTATTTGGATTTTATTTACATTTATATGAAACGGAACACATTTGTGTGTGCATTGAAAAACACAAGTGTGGATCCTTCTGTGTGCATTATGAGACCGTTCTGAGCCCATAGAAAGAAAGGTATCGCTCCACACACACACACACACACACACACACACACACACACACACACACACACACACACACACACACACACACACACACACACACACACACACACACACACACACACACACACACACACACACACCACACACACACACACACACACACACACACACACAACACACACACACACACACACACACACACACACACACACACACACACACACACACACACACGGCTGTAGCAGGTAGACAGACAGGAAGCAAGTTGCATATTTCATTGCATGCAGACTTACAACAGCAGAATGATGTGGAGTGATCAGAGCATGGTGCTGACTCAGGACTTCCACAATGGACAGAGATGTCCTAATCAACTCCTCACATACAGCTGCGCCTGAACAGAGAATCAAACATCATTCTGAACCATCTGCTTCATAATAAAGGGGGATGACCCAGTGCGGAGGGTGGTTGATATTCAGCTTCTCCAGGTGAGTGAACTATGTGAATACGCTTTAGAACTAATGCCATCTGTATCTCCAAGGCTTAACTTCTCTTACATATTGATATTTTTCTTCTTATGTTCCAAAGACAACTTGTGAGTGTGTAAGTAGGGCCTTCACTGAACTTTAAGCTAAAGAAATATGTAACGTTGTTTTTACGACAAGCTGCTTTATTCAGTAAAATGTTGGTTCCAAAAGGAAAAAAAGGTAATAATGATCATTAAAGCAAAACTGAATCCAGGAAACATGAAAATGGTTGCATAGTAGTACGTTTCATCAAAGTAAAATATTGTAGACTCTTAACCGACATGCTAATTTAGTAATATAGAAACTAGCTTACCCAAAGAACTGGCCAGATTAGTTTCATTGGACTCTATGGAGGCGATATAGTTCTGTGAGAAAGAGAGAGGGTAGAAATGACACTTCACTTTTGTCTTTTTTCAGACATTTACTGATCATTATGTGTCATCTGTTATTGGCTCCAACATGTCAAATGTGTCAAATGGAATAACTCTCGACTTCAGTGTTAAAACAATAAAAGATAAAGTCATGATGTCCTTATCTAACATAATACTAAAGAACCAGACACATACCAGCAGCAATCCAGTTTGAGTTATAAACTCTTCAGTTACAATTCGACATCGAAAGACCTGCAAGAGGACAGAGAGTCAGTCACACATACAAACAGGGATGGGGTGACGGGAAACAATATGATGATAATGTGAAGAGCAGTAAAAAAGAAAAAAGGTTCATTGTTTTTCTTTGAGTCTTTTGGAACCCAAATTGTGTAACAATGTGCAGTGCCACAGCACCTTCTTTAGCCAGGTGTATCTATCTAAACTAAGTACATCATCACATATACTGTGTTTATTTACAGGCCCACATAACAAAACAACAGGTAAAACAGTATATTGACAATGCAATATTTGTACTAAAATACTAGGTTTAACACTGAGGATGTGTACTGGTTATCTATGAGTAATTATATGTTGGTACTTTGCAGGCACTAAACATGAACATTACAATTAAACAATGAAGAAAACTCCTTTATGTCCAAGATACCTGCGATGAAAGAAGTTCCAGCACCACAGACATTGAAGGCAAAGTGGGTTTTAACTTCTTGCTCTGAGCTGTAGTTGGATGTCTCCTCCCGATCACACCTCGTAATGCACATAACACTTCCTCTGGAGAGAGAAAAGGAGACAAGACACAAAACAATGAGAGAAGAGGGACTTACTTTTTTATTTTTTTTAAAATGAGAAAAAAAAAATCTGAAAAAATTGATTTGCGAATGTTGAATAAATTGATAGTAGTGTGTTTGTGTGTGTGTGTCTATACCCAGTATCAGTGAGGCAGTGCTACCTAGATATACAATCAGTAAATCCAGACACTGAGTGAGGTATCCTGATTGGATGGGGTTCTCTCTGAGGGGAGTGGCTTTGCGCAGGTCTCTCTCCAGGTGCAATACAAGCCTAGATAGAAAGACACACACACATGGCAAGTCACAGAATGCATAACGTGATGTATATACTCATTGTGAGTTGCTCAGAAGTATTGATTTAATGTCCAGCGTGTAAAAATGATGAAGACATAATAATACACTGAACAAAAATATAAATGCAACACTTTTGTTTTTGCTCCCATTTTTCATGAAATGAACTCAAAGATCTAAAACATTTTCTATAAACACAAAATAACCATTTCTCTCAAATATTGTTCACAAATCTGAAAAATCTGTGATAGTGAGCACTTCTCCTTTGCCGAGATAATCCATCCCACCTCACAGGTGTGGCATATCAAGATGCTGATTAGACAGCATGATTATTGCACAGGTGTGCCTTAGGCTGGCCACAATAAAAGGCCACTCTAAAACGTGCAGTTTTGCTTTATTGGGGGGGTCCGAAAACCAGGCAGTATCTGGTGTGAGGGGTAGGGGTAGGGTTAGGGTAATGTTGTGAATCGAGTGGCCCATGGTGGTGGTGGGGTTATGGTATGGGCAGGCGTATGTTATGGACGACGAACACAGGCCACTCGATTCACAACATTACCCTAACCCTACCCCTACCCCAGATACTGCCTGGTTTTCGGAGCCCCCCCAGACCCCCTCAATAAAGCAAAAATGCACGTTTCAGAGTGGCCTTTTATTGTGGCCAGCCTAAGGCACACCTGTGCAATAATCATGCTGTCTAATCAGCATCTTGATATGCCACACCTCTGAGGTGGGATGGATTATCTCGGCAAAGGAGAAGTGCTCACTATCACAGATTTTTTCAGATTTTTGAACAATATTTGAGAGAAATGGTTATTTTGTGTATATAGAACATGTTTTAGATCTTTGAGTTCATCTCATGAAAAATGGGAGCAAAAACAAAAGTGTTGCGTTTATATTTTTGTTCAGTATAATATGATTCTGGACAATGAGCTATAAAACGTTGACAGACAAAGGGCCAGGGAGATTGGTGGAGAGGGAGACAGACAGAAAAACCCTGAGTTTAAAAACATTTGTATTCTCGTCAGACTGCTTGTATTGAACAGTAATCAATAATATTCTATTCACAAATTCATAGCAGAGCGGAAAGGTTACCACTGCTAACTGATATTCATTACTGACACACAAACACACCCACACATGTGTGCACAAGCACACACAGGCACAAAAAGCATGAATGCAGAGCAGACACATGCAGAGAGATTTGGCGAGGTCATATTAGTTAACAAATATTGATTCTAAGCTTCGGTGTGGGAATGGAGCAGGGGGAGTGAGGGATTACAAATTCAGTAGTTTTCCTCATAATGTTGCATAAAAGATTAGCAGCCACAGCTATATGGACTCCCACACAACTACTGCTACTACAGTATATTAAGGGTCCAATGAATGTTAGAGGCACTCAAAATAGTAATTGCTGAATTCAAAGCCAAATCTAGTTGGTATCACCAAACTCAGAGTCTCATATATGAAAACAAGTTCTACCAACAACACTTAAGAAGCATTTAAAAAAAGGTATTAAAAACAATTAATAGGATAAAAAATGAAAACAACAAATAATGTTACAATTAGTTTTGGTCAGAGAATGTTTTTTGTTATAACTCAAGTTAGCATGCAGTTAGATGCAGAGATGTATCATTAGTGTCACAGGGTTTTGGTCATTTAATAATGTTGCCTGATCAAAATGTAAGGAATCACTAAAGTTATTACAATTCATCGTGAGTGTTTAAAACTAATTTCATGCCAGCATGTCCAGAAGCCCCAGGATAAATGTTTAAATTGTTATTTGGATATTTCCTCACGGTACCATGAACATCTGCACACAATGATATGGTCATCCATCCAGTAGTTGTTGAGATACTTCTATTCCAGACAGAGTTGCGGACTGACCATCCGTCACACACGTTGTGTCTTACAGTAGGCTTGGTTGTGTGTTGAGTACTATGTGATATGCCTGTTTCACAAATCATTTCTGCTGTATACAAACCTTTTAACACTTTAAAGCCTGTCAATCAAGGTTAATATAAAGTAGGTTCATGAACACCTGTTGTCTGGCATAAATCGGTCTTCAACAACACAAAGTCAACATTATGTGAGGACCTCACCAACCTCAAATATAATATAAATATAATTTACACACGGCATCTATTGCACGTCTGTCCGTCCTGGGAGAGGGATCCCTCCTCTGTTGCTCTCCCTGAGGTTTCTCCCATGTTTCCCTTTAAACTGTGGGTTTTCTCCGGAAGTTTTTCCTTGTACGATGTGAGGGTCTAATGACAGAGGGTGTCGTTTGTCATACTGATATTCTGTACACACTGTGAAGTCCACTGAGACAAATGTAACATCTGTGATATTGGGCTATATAAATAAACATTGATTGATTGATTGGTAATGCAAGCTTTTTTTCTAAGACTAAACTATTATGTTTTGTAACTGTCTGTCTCTTTTTTACCTGCTATTCACCGGCTTTTCTATCTATTTGTATGCTAGAATTTTGCCTGTAAGTCTTCCAGACATTTTTGTTCCGATTGCTAAATAAAGAGAGACAAACTTGCCACCTCTTTGTCAGTCACTGTGGGACAAAGCACTCTCACACAACTAACCTACAAGTGGCCCACTCTTTGTGTGTGTGACAGTGTCTGTTGAAAGCCATCACACTCCACTCCCAACGGCAATCTTGACACTTTCTCAGCGAGACGGCCTGCACAACTTTATCTCATGCAGACAAAAACACATACACACAGGAACACACATACATTTTCACGCCACTGAGGAACTAATTAAACACAGCGTGCCAGGGTGAGAGCGGGCCTGAAAGATGTGCGCCTGTGTGTGGTTGAATCATGCAGAGCGCTCGGTGGGAGAGAGACAGGCAGGTCAACTCTGACAGCTCTAACACAGTGAACAGAGGGAGAGCAAGTGAGAGAGAGAGAGTGTGTGTGTGTGTGTGTGTGTGTGTGTGTGTGTGTGTGTGTGTGTGTGTGTGTGTGTGTGTGTGTGTGTGTGTGTGTGTGTGTGTGAGAGAGAGAGAGACAAGCAGCTATCTTTATAATTATTACCAGCTGAAATTAGGCATTCATTAAGCACAATGACATGTTCAAGTATACATACTTCTGTCGAGATTTCATATGAACCCGCTACATGCTCAATACTCAATTAGTTCTGTTTTTTATGGTGGAATTAGGACGCAGCATTTACTCTTAATACTTATAAAGTCTGATAAGTGTAAAACAATTAAAACATTCAATGGCTTTTGTTACTTGGCAACATATGAAACATATATACTGACATATAGGTTTTGCTATTCAGTGAGTCCAAGGTGTTACCAGGTTGGCACCTTGGTGACTTAAAATCATTCCTAAGACACAAACATCATTCATAAACCATTTGTTATGAAAACAAGCATAACTCAACCTTATTCTTTCATGGAAAAAGTTGACAGTTCACACGTATCAAATGTCAGAAAGGTATGGCTGTCAAAGAAATAAAGAATCTCAGACAAAGAGAGAATAAGTGAGAAGCATTTCAATAAAAGAGATAACGTATTTAGCAAGAAAAAGAGAATGGGAGAAGAGAGTGCAATAAGAGAGACAGTTCTGAGGATTCATATGTCAGTAATCTGAGGCATCTTGTTCAAACAGCAATACCAACTGGTCCTAAATTACATGGGGAATTGTCTCTGTATATATACTGTATATATATATTAATATTATGCATATGCATCTGATCACGGGGGCTAAGAACATTCAGAGCTGCATTTCAAGTTGGCGTGGGGTGAAACACAGGACAACCAGCTAATAAACCATTTGAAGTTCCTGTAAAGTTACAACATACAGCAGAACAAACTGAATGACCAGGGTACATACATTTATATTATCATTCCCACGGCTGCTGTGCTAGTTAACGCAAAGGTTACGGAGAGTACAACTGCCTTGCCAACAGCCCCAGGCAGCGCTTTTATGAAGGGAGCCTCCCTTCTCAAAGCAGTCTGCTTTAAATACCAGACAACTGTGTTGAAAAGCAATTCCTGAGTGCTTGTATCAGAATGTGGGAGGGATGTTTTAAGAAAAAGCACTCCACTTAATGCATGGCCATGTTTCTTGGTATTGTCCTAAATGTTTTTAACTCAATTCATTGTATAACAAGTCCATGCCAAGTCAATTGTAAAACTGCCAGTCTTGCATTTCAGTTCGGTAAGAATAAAACTGGATAGAGAAAATCAAAAGCTTTCGTATTTGTATTTTGTGCCCGTCTTTATTTTACTCATAATAGTGCTTCAGCACCTCTTTTCACCCTCTGTCTGAAACCAGTGCCTACTCTGCTCTGATTGGTTAGCTGGCCGGCTCTATCACGTACAATGTGTTGGAGCTCTAGCCAAGAGAAGTACAAGTGTTACATAGTGATGTCACGGAAGTAAGCCTCTTTAATCATCCATATACATGATCACATGCTGTGTGGTAGTGTGCTTATGATGTCTACTTTCCTATTAGCTTTCATTCTCAAACTATTTGGGAATGTGTACACAGTGTTTTTAAATGTAGTCCCAAGCAACCAATTCATCCCACTAGCGTTCTGAAACACCAACAGGGCTCATTGGCTTGAAATCTCAGTGTATAATATACCAATATATCCATGTTAATGGCTTTTTGTGGTAGTTACAACGGATGCAAATCTTACAGAAGAATACTTTCACAAAAACTTGAGCTTTAGATATCCACTAGACATATTGAAGGGATATCATTTCATAAAACCATTAATTACTAGGTCACAGTTAGTGACAAATTGTAAGCTATTTTTCTAGTTTGACAAACTGACATATGTAATCTGGCTATAAGCATATTTTAATTACATATTATTAGGGAAGAGACCGTGTCTATATGTATGAGTGAATGTGCAGGCCTGCATGTGTGTGGGTGTGTGTTAGTGAGTATTTACCTGTGCTGACAGCAGAATAGAAGCGTGTGTGTGTTGTCCTGTATCAGTAGCAGTAGCAGTAGTAATGCTTTGGCTCTTGTTACTGTGGATGGACTCTCTAGACAGCGTAGCACCTTCAACACCAAATCCTGCAAGACACAAACGAATAAAGCTGAACTGACAGGTTGTGTATGTTTCTGCTGCTGAACAGTCAAGTCAAGTTGTATATATATGCAGTGTATATGCTTACAAACCCAAAATGTTTGCATGGGAACATCGCATCCACAAAGGTTGAGTTTGAAGAGAAAACATGTTTGCACACTGTTCACAGCGCTATGTTCTGATGTTATCACATTATAAGATATTACTGCAATGTCTCCAAATCATGTATGCAAAGAAATAAGAATGCAACATTTTCCCTGAGGTGTTCAAAATAAATCTGAAAATGCTTCGACTAACTGGCTAAAACCTAATCAGCTCAGACTTCATTATCACACAACATGCGCGCACACACAACACACATACACACAAAACAAACTTGTATGCCCACAGCTACTTCCGACATCCATTCACTCAGCATAAACTCTGTGGCAGTAACTGGTTGGGAAAATGTGCGACTGGCCAACATTCATTACCATTATCATTATCACCAACACCATACGCTTCTGACTGTGTGCATGTGTGAGCGTGTGAGAGAACGTGCATGCATGTGTGTTTATGTGGTTACACACCAACTTAATTAATTTCAAAGCCCCGTAGTGTGTGCCTAGCTGATAAGTCCCTCCCCACTACCCATAATGCTTTGCTGAAGTAGAAGGCTGCAGCTCGTTCATTCAGCCAATTAGCCCAGATACTGACACACTCTGCAAATTAGCATATGTGCATGCACACACACACACACACACACACACACAGACACTAACAGACAGAGTTCTGTGTAAACAAACTCTTGGACTATCTGTCTTTGTGCCAGGGGAAGGAGAGAGGAGCGATTGGGGGGGTGGGGGGGGGGGGTGAATGCATATCAGTGTATAATTAGAGCAGAGTTGAAGTACTAACTTTGTATGCTGGTGTTAAATTGGAAATGCTCAATGCAAATAAATTCAGTTCTGAGTCAATTACCAATGCCAGACTCCAAGTGAAAAAACCTTCAAATCAATTTGAGCCCCTCTGCCTCACCAAGATTAGCACTACGTACGGTACTGTATACATACTAGATATGCTGCATTATGAAAATTAAATAAGTAATTTCTCACAAATTAGTTCACGCACAGTTCAGCAATAGTTCATGTACTGCGAGGAAAAAAGAGAGAAAGACGGAGTGAGTTGTTTCTCTTGTTGTGTTCAAATCTCCATATTTGGCACTTTCCTCTTAAACATCTTTAAATAAATCGACTTGTGATGTTCCTACATACATTTCCAGTAGAATCTCTCCATAGCAATATCAATCAAACGTAAGGCTAAAACAATACGGTTGTTAGTGTCTAGGTTTGATCCAGGTCCAGTTGATAAGTTATCTGCATGTGTTTCCATTTCACATTTTGCAGTATATTCTTACACTCTTATTCAGGTGTGCAAAGGCGTTTATACGCACCGTGCTCTGTGTGACGCGGTGTGTTTGGATGGGTGAGGTGAGCAGGGCCGTGGCCATAGCAGTGAGCAGGTGCTGCTGGACCCTGGCCCCTGCTCCACCAACGCCCTCCAAGATGGCCGCAGGGCCACAGGTGTCAATCACTGCCAAGAAGACTGCTGGGAGCACCCGGGTTAGCCTTGAAAGAGCCTGGAGACAAAGAAAGACAGAGGTAATGTATACCATTCATGGATTGTGGTAATCGGTAATGCCTTAAAATAAGATGCATGTGTTTAATATTGCATAACATGGAGTGACAAATTACAACCTACTAATTCTGTAATTTAAATTGTTTAAATCTATTGTTTTATTTACAAATTCGTTTATATGATTCACAATCTATAAATAGAGTATATCAATGCTGCTCGAAGGCTATGTTAATAGGTGTACATGTATCTAGATATGTGGAGGGGAAAGCTTACATTTGTTTTGTCATTTGTTGTCATTTACCATGAGAAGGTCATCAATTGTTATTATTTGAGGTCGTTCAGGAGTGGCCCGACATAGAAATATTATAATACATCTAAAATCTATAAGAAGATGTTCAAGTATCAGGCATATTTGCCTGCTTTTCCTTTTCCTAGTGCTTATAGGTCAAATATAGATGTAGGTATGTGAATATGTTTTTTCTCCACAGTCACACATACATGATGAAATCTATAAGTGTGTGTTTTCATGCGTGTGAACTCACAGAGATAGCAGTGACTCTGACGGCCTCCACGGTGGAGTGAGTGAACAGGTACCACAGGGCGGAGCCTATCTCGGTGGTAGCCAGTTGGTGGGAGGAGCCAGAGACAGCACTGGCAATGTTCTCTATGGCTTTTGCAGCCATGTGATGAACTATGGGATCAGCCTGTAAGACAGACACAAACACAGTGCAAGCATATAAACAACGACCAACCAGGTATTTTGACAATACATTTTATTAACAGCAACGGATCCTTTAATTATTGGGATTTTGTCAATTAGAGCTGTCAAACACATTCAACACTTCTCAATGGCAGAGTATCTCTTACCAAATGAATTAACAATGTGTAGTGTTTCATCACAATACATGATAAAGATGGCTATAGTAAAGGCAGTGTTTCCTCTAGGATGGAGTCATAGCAGCGGTGCTAAGGCACGTGGGCCCAGCATAGTGTGAGCGAGGAGCGCGTGGAATTTTTTTGTGTGTGCACGTGGGAAGTGCGCCCCGCCAATTTGTTTCTATGTGTCTGCCAGCACAAGAAAGGCTCTTGAGGCCTAGTACCAAGGCCGGTTCAAGAAGGAAAATGCTTCAATCTGGTGCACTTTGAGCACACAATTACTAGAGGCCTGATCTAGGGGGTTCAACTCTAAACACCCTTATGAAAAAGATTGGTTCACATTTTAATAATCAAATAAGTATGTGAACATAACCAATAACCTACCATAGCCAATAACAAATAAATGTAACTTGTTTTATTTTTGTTGTTCATTCATATCTTATTTTACCTAGTTAACATTTATTTATGCATATTTTTGTATCTCTCCAACTTTAAACGATATTTTTGGTTTACTGTCCTATAGTATACATTGGAATGATTTCAAACCTGTTTTTATTTATCCTAATAATTATAAAGGAGTGCCTTGGAAATATGTGTTTACATAATTTGTAAACACATATTTGTTTGAGACCCACTGAGATAACTTAGACTAAAATTAACTATCTAAACACTCAGAGAGTCCTTTACCTCACTGAGCCTCTCAGTCTGACAGGAGAGCTCTCCTCCACCCTGGTTGTAGAAACATCTACTTCTTATATCCGTTAGCGCAGCTAGCACCAGATTCAAATAACAACAGCGCCGGTACCGGTGCGCTCTCTCTCTCTCTCCCTCCCTCTCTCCCTCGCTCCCACGCTCGCACTTTGGCTGTGAGCTGCGGGCGCCTGATAAGCCAACACCCCCCACTTTCATCACTTACAGCGCCCATCGCACAGGGCAAATGAAAAGTGTAACCGGGGTGAAAAGGATGTTACATTTACTTAATTATGAATTTTGTTACATCAAGGCCGAAAATTAGGATGAGTGCCAACGGTCAAAAATGTTTTTTCCCCTCCCAGAGCTGCCACCGCAGGGCCCCCCAGATTTTTTTTTTGGGGTACCTGGCTGGCGCCCCCTAGCAGCGGAGCGCATATTTCAGCAGCGGCGCTGCGCCACCGCTATTTGTATATAGGGGAAACACTTAAAGGTATTGTTAATACAAATTCCTGATTACACCTATAATAATATAACACTGTCCATGTACCTTCAGAACATTTTCCTTAAAAATATTCAAACTATTTGAAAACTGAAAACAATCTTATTTTCCTGGTGCAATGTAAGACAGATGTTTTAGGAGTCTATTTAAATGTTAAAAGGATTTTATACCGTGAGCTGTTCAAAAACCTTGCAGCTCGAATCCAAAGTCCTCACACCAACACAATGACACTGATGAGTCATGACCCTCCTTAGTATAGTTACCATGCATAGTAACTGTATCATGCAGACCAAAAGAACATCATGTATGTGCTGAAAACCACTGGCATTTACCCACAAGGCCAGTAGAAATACATAAGACTAGAACAGCCTAGTGGTGATGTCTTCTATTTGACTAATATTTGTAAAGATTAGCTTTCCTACTTGTATGTGACACAGTGTGCAAAAGCATCCCAATAGCAGAGCATAGCATAGAGGGTTGTAGATTGATTTTCTTGCATACAGTATAACGAAATGCCATTGTGAGCAAAGCATTTTGCGGTTCATTGTTACAAGTTACAGACTGAAACAAATATTGAAAAATGTCACACACCAAAAGGCAGAAATGAACAAAGAACGTACGCAATCACAAACTGACAATTAGATTAGCTCCCGACACCACCTCGATACAAAAACGAGAGAAAGAGAGGTTGCGTGTGTGTGTGAGTTAGTGTGCAAGTGTTCGTGTATGTGTGTGTGTACTGTATGAGCCCACACCTTTGCCTGAGTAGGGAATAGTTGTTTGTGTTCAGACAATGGGGCCAGGCTAATGAAATCTCTGTGGCTGAGGAAATTAGTTTTTCCAGAAAAGTCATTGTTGAGAAAGACAGGAAGTAGAACAGAAGTGATTGCCTGTCAGGTTATTATTGTGTTTCACTGTGTTACATCACTTAGACGCCACTCTCCCTAGATATGAGATACAATAGTCTATTCACAAAACACATTTTGTGGCAAAGGTTCAGAATAACAGCTGAACACTAATTTCATCGTGGCAATTTATCATGGTAATTCTGAAAAGCGGTGCAGCTGACTGATAATGACATTATTACACTATTTCATTGTTGCATATTCTGCACATAACTGCACCAACTGTCACACGTTGAGATTATGTAATGTCTTTTTTTAAATCAAACTCACTCTTTGGAAATTGCCGATACAAACGTTTTAGTTGTTTTCTTATCACACAAACGCAGCGGAATTCATCCCAAACAGGTTCACATTTTCACAGGATCCACTTTTCTGTTATCCAATCTGTTGGCTCAGTATGTTTTCAACAGTCATAGATTGAGCTAAATATGACGGAATAAATAGCTTTTGTTTTGTTTTATTACCCTCCTCAAAGATCTAGGTAGCAGGTAGATAATGTGATTAAGATGCTGGAATGGTTTAGAAAAGTGTTTGTTTACAAATAAATACAATATAATACACCTCAGTCATCATTATAGACATCCATGTCAGAGCAATCTGATTGTCAAGTCAAGTTTTAAACCTGGGAGTTTATCCTTAACAACCCATTTCAAATTCCATCTGCATCAACATATTCACTATGAAATAAAAGCAAAATAATGTCCCTACCTGTGTCTAAAACAAGGTGAACATTTTATAAATAATTCTCTTATGGAGGAAAATGAAGCTCTGATCTTTTACAATGCTTCAATGGTCAGGCTGTGATCCACACTTATTTTACATTTGATGTAAATGAAAGACAGCCTATTCATCCACATGGGAACCATAATGATAACTGAGAGCTAAAATAACCTACCTATTTATCCAATATAGGACATTGTGCATTCAACACCAAGGGACTACGTAGGATGACAACATAATGAATCCTCTGGCACCCCTGCGGGAACCAGCAGAATGGACTGTTCCACGATTCCCCAGGCTAAGCGGGCCAGCTCACTAATGAGCCCACGGGGGAGCACCCACTGTCTATGTGTTTAATAGACTGTAGGCCTGCCAGGAGCTACACAGAAAGAGAAAGAGGGGGAGACTGGAGGAAGGAGAAAGAGGGAGAGCGATGCAGTGAGAGAGATATCCTTACATGTGGTGAGAAACAAGTAGCTCCAGCTCATGCAAGAAACTCCATCATTATGATGCAGAGAGAGACATGCAGGAGACCGAGGAAAGAGTGAGTTATTCTCGTTATAATTTCCCGCAGTATGAGCAACAAGTTCATCCAAGAAACACACTCATTGTATTATACTCAGTGTCCTACTTAAACTTCACATCTCCAGAATGTCAACTTTAAAGACATTAAAGTACATTTTTTGCAGCAGCTTCCCCAAAAAACTTTGCTACAAGGTCATTGCAGATTTCTTTTTCTTTGCAAGATTTGAATCTAAATACTGAGTGAGCTGTTATTTCTAGGGCCGGGACTTTAACGCGTTAATTAAGATTAATTAATTACACAAAAATTAACGCGTTAAAAAAATTAACGCATTTTAATCGCACTTATTTTTGCACCGCGGAACGTTTCTCACTGGATGAGTTTCAGGCGTACCGATTATACTGGAGCACCAACTAACGTTCATGACTTCAGACAACAACAAACCACAGTGAACAACAGTGGGAAATGTTGTTTTAAAAAACGGACGGATGGAAGCGTCGATAAGAGCACGGTTGTGTGCAAATTATGCAAAAAGGAATTCGCATATCACCGCAGCACATCAAGCCTCAAGTATCACCTCAATGCAAAACATATAGCAGCTAGCGTGGAAGCTAGCGTGGACGTTAGCCTCTTTTATCGCGTTCACACCAAAAAGAGCCGGTACTAAAATTAGTTCATGAGAAACTTTTTACCCCCACGAAAGTCCCTGCTAGAGAGCAGAGAGCTGCTAGAGAGCAGGGACTTTCGTAGGCTCTCTTGTGAGAAAAGAGCTATATTTCTGATTGGCTGGGCGGATTGCAAACCACGCCCCGTAAAACTCCCAAAAAGTTTTGTGAAGACGCCATTTTATTATCCTCGCATTAGCATTATTGGCATTAGCCCAGCGCAGAAACGCAGAGAGACTAACTTATGGCAACACAAAATAAAACATGGGAGCGGTGGAGATGAGGAGGTGTCGGCGTTCTGGCGATTTACTCGGAAGGCTGCTGGGACTCCCAGCAGCCTTCTACTGAAGCCAGTCCCCAACTCCGGGGACTTCCGGCCGGGGACTTTGGGCGGCAGTATACGCCGTGAAGTGGTTTGCGGCCTGCCAGTAAACCCAAAGCAGAAGAAGAAGAAGTGACGTCAGCGGCTTCATTTGCCTAATCCACCCCCAGGTTCAAAGAGTTCTCATGAACCTTTGTGGGAAAAGTACTGCGGTGTGAATGCGCCTAATGGTATACTAAAATCCATGTGAAAAAAAATTGCTTCTCACTGTTCTTAGGTCAAATATGTATATGCGATTAAAAATGCGATTAATTTAGATTAATTAATTACAAAGCCTCTAATTAATTAGATTAATTTTTTTAATCGAGTCCCGGCCCTAGTTATTTCATAAACACAATTTAAATCATACGACCACAATCCTTGTCCTCATAATACCACAACTCACCGGCAGTCTGTATTCAATCGACAGACCAAATTAAAACATTCTAGGAGATGATGTTG